AGCATCGACCGTCGGAGGTTGTATCCTACGCTCGATGCTCCATGCCGGTCTCCACCGGTGCCCATTTCGATACAAGCAACTTTCCACCCACGACCGACAATTGCGGAAGCGGGTCTTTTGGTGCGCTTATGCGATAGATAGATATCTGAGCCAGGCTTTGGGTTTGCCGCTTGGTATACAGGATTCTGATATCGATGTGTGTCTGCCTGCTGCCCGGGAAATGCATTCTCCTCGAGGCCAGACGACGCAATCTGCGAATGATATCTCTGCGTCGCAGCACGGGAATAAAGAAGACCACGGCAAGGAAAGCGTTCTTGCCAGCTACGTTGATTCGGGCACTTTGACGGGTCGGGCGTTGGAGCTCTTCCATAAATCAATATTGGTTCGATCCGTTCGTCGCAGTTCGGTGTTGTTCCTCGTGACAGACGTGCATAAGTGGTGGAATGGACTTCCTGCCGATCTCCAAAGAAGGCCGGCGGTATTTGAACAAAGGGTGGGATCTGCGATGGCAGATAGTGCGTTTGATTTTGCTCCTTTTTTCACTGTGTTGTATCAACATCTCATTCTGATCATTCATCGGCCTTCGCTGTCACTGGACCCATCGACTGCGGAATTCTGTTCTGGATTACAAACTTGCATCGGGGCCGCTCGGGCTATCCTTTTAGCACTCAGGTTGCAAGTTGATAGCCACCAGGCTTTATTCTGGCCCGGTTTCTTGTCGGCTGCGTGGATGTCTGGGTTGGTTTTGGCTTTGGCTTGTCAACTGAACCAATATGTGTTGACAAAGGGCCTTCAGTATGTGACGTGTTTCTGTTTACTCTGGTTGATCTTCGATTGATTACGATGTACTAACTATCCGATAGGGAAATTGAAGAACTTTCGGGATTCCTGCGTTTGATGTCCACTCAATGGGAGACAGCCAAACACTGCCACATATCGCTTTCAGTGCTGGCTGCGAAAATCCAACAGTCAGAAAGTGGCTCCGATCCAACATCAAACTCCCAAGCATATGTGGCCAGGGGCTCTGAGGGGAGTCAGACACTTGTGGAGTCATTGACTGCACGCGAGGAGAACAGACGGAGACTTGGTCGTCTATCGCACTTGCAAGAAGAGTCTAGCTCATCCGTAAAGCCATCCGATCTTGAGCAACGGAGTAACGCATGGGGAGAATCTACCTATAGGGGGCATGATCCCACGGTAGTTCCTTCGACGTCAATGCACCTGTCACATATGAACGAGCAGGGTATCCTTGCTGATTCACCCTCTTCACTGCAGAAAGATCTACAGGACATGGGTCCTGCACAACTCGAGGGCATATCGAATTTCGACTTGAACATGGTCGATTTAATCGAAGGCGCTAACTTCGACACTCTGTTCGATATGATCGGACAGCAATTCCCAAGCTTCTAAGTTTATGCTACATACCACTAATAAAAAACAATCTACAATCTAACAACGAATCTACATGAACAATACCAAAGGTAGACAAACCAAAATAAGGCATATTGTTCGCGTAGTGGGTATGTGTATTCCTCTCAAACGATCATCATCAAATCCCCCATTCATTCAGACCATCAACCCGCCCTCAGCACCATAACCATAACCATCACATCAATTCTGATCCCGCACCTCCCGCCGAAAAAGCAAAGCCCGATTAATCTGTACTCTCCCATTCCGAATCTCTTGGCAATAGTAGTCAGCCTGCAGTTCCGCGGCTGCGAGAATAGAAGCCTTGTTGGAATGGTAGTCTCCGGGCACCTTGATAGAGACGCACAGGGGGTAATCATGATGCTTGGCATGGACGGAGATGGATACGGTGCTTGTTCGGATGTAAGCTGCGACTGTGCGCATGAGGGTCTCGTCGTCGGAGTCTGAGTCCCGTGCCTGGATGAAGACGTTCACCCAGTTGCTGACTTGACGTGGGTTGTACTCGGGTTCGGGGATTAGCTCTCCGTCGAAGTAGAACATGCTCTGCATCTTTCCCGTAGAGGTGAGGATGTCCATTCCTTTGGATAAAGGGTTTGTGGGATTTGCTTACCTTGTGGGTTGTTTGTTTGTGGTGAAGTAAGTGACTGGGGAGGAAAGGAAAGGTGGAAGATGGGAAGGTGGGTTTCGAGTTATTGTAGGATTATATGGGCTCTGTTTATATACTCTTTGCTTCATCATTCTCTACTGTTTATAGTCGTCTCGGGAGCCTGAGTAGGAATAAAACAAAGGAGTTATGGTACAATGCTATTTTCAAGTGCTTTCATCTATTTCCAGGATGCCTTTGTGTTTCTGTAGTTATTGAGTCTTTGAATCTTTCAGTGGTTTAAGGTCTGCCTAGTTCATTACTCGAAGGGAATCTACGTATTCTTTCCTACTCTATCGACAATGGGCCTTTTACAGTTAAGCTTGAAAATACACGATGTGTTCGTAGTATGGCTATTTTGACTAGCAGCACGGCATAGTGGCATAACGGCATACAAGGCGATGCTATCGCAGCATACTGTCTCGAAATCTCAGACCTCAATGGACAGCTATCTAAGTTTATTACTTTCATCTAATTAGAGTCAGACTCCAGGGTTGCTTATACAAGTGTAAACCAACCAAACTTCTACAGCACACACATTGGAAATACAAAGAACAAAGATACTCCAATTCCCCATTCTATCAAATAACATAACCAGTCTAAACAATCTATAATTCATTCAAGCATCATAAAATAAAGACCTCAGTCCTAGCAAAACACCACCTAATCCCCTTTCCCCAAGAACCGAACATTATCTCCGAAAAAGCAAAGCCCGATTAATATGAACCGACCCTCTAGCAACCTGTGCTCGAAGATATTCCGCCGACACCTCCGCCGCAGCAAGAATTGACTCCTTATCACCATGCTCTCCGGGCACCTGGATCGAGATACAGTACGGGGTATCGTGGTGCATAGCATGGGTGGTGATACTAATGACTCTTGTTCGGATGCAGATGATGACTGTGCGCATTATAGCGAGGTCATCGCATCTGTAGTCGCGTGCATTGAAGAATATGTTCACCCAGGTTGCTCGAGAGTTGTATTCGGGCTCTTGTAGCAATATTCCGTTTTGGTAGAACATCCCTTGGAGAGTGTTGGTTGGGTGGGTTTGTGGGTTTGTACCTGAAGGGACTGACTTTGTTTCTTTTTATGAATGGATGGCTGTGTGAGTTTAGATAGATTCGAGTGGTCGAGTGGATTTGGCTTTGAAGGCCCGTTTAAATGCTTTCTGAGTAACTGTGAAGTCCTGATATAGGGTGCTAAGGGCCGTTTAAATGTTGGACTATAAGACAATATCATACTGATCTTGTTTCTACTCCTTTTATATAACGAAAAAAAAATGTCATATTGCTATAATGGCATTTCCGGGTTTCTTAGTTCATGGACTCCTGATCTGTTCCGTCTTGTGCGAGATGCCTTTGAGATTTTCTTTATGGATATTCATACAAATTTGACAGGTAAGTGACCTTCTGGACTATTCCCAAGAATATATTGCCCATTTACTCAAAAAGGGGTCTTCTATGGGTTAGTTTCTATAGTCATCTGCCCATATTCTGTGACTATTGATATTCAATGTAAGGTCAACTGATCAGTTCATTTAAAGCAGTATTTCAGATGACACCAGACGACAAAGAAAGACAAAGAGACTAAGAATAGAAGAAAAGAAGAAGAGAAAAAAAAAAACAATGAATTGTCTTAGACCTTTCAACCCAACTTCTCAATCTCCAAACAAACAGCATCCACAACCCCCTGAGTGTCAGAACTTCCCCCAAGATCACGAGTCAAAATCCCCTTAGCACAAACCCGTTCCACACAACCCATCAACTGAGCAGCAGCATCCTTCTCTCCAATCCAAATCAACATTTCCGCCGCCGACCAAAAAGTCGCAACCGGATTCGCAACCCCCTTGCCCGTAATATCAAAAGCACTACCATGAACAGGTTCAAAAATCGACGGACTCTTCCGCGTAGGATCCAAATTACTGGAAGGCGCAACACCAATTGACCCAGCCAATGCAGCAGCCAGATCCGACAAAATATCCATATGCAAGTTCGTCCCGACAATCGTATCAAGAGACTCTGGCTTCATAACCATCCGAACAGTCATCGCATCAACAAGCATCTTATCCCAGCTGACATCGGGGAAGTCCTTCGCGACAAGACCAGCAATCTCATCCCACAATACCATCCCGTTGCGCATGGAATTGCTCTTCGTGACGACGGTGAGGAACTTACGCGGCCGCGACCGTGCTGTCTCAAATGCGAAGCGCATAATTCGCTCGATGCCAACGCGCGTGAATAAAGCCACTTCCGTCGCGGCTTCCCATTGCTGTCCGATGTGAGAGCGTCCGCCTTGTCCTGCGTATTCGCCTTCGGAGTTCTCACGCACGAGAATCCAGTCGATGCCGTTTCTTGCCGTGTTGAGAGGACATTTGGTTCCTGGGAAGGTACGGACTGGTCGGACGTTGGCGTATAGTTGGAGTGGGCCGCGGAGGGCGAGGAGTAGGCCCCAGAGTGAGATGTGATCGGGTACATCTGTTTGTGTTAATGTTTCCTGTTTACTAGTCCGGTAATTTGATATGATGTATGCAGTATAGATAACATACCGGGCGACCCAACGGCTCCGAATAATATAGCATCGTACCGGCGTAGAGTATCGAGGTAATCTTCAGACACGTATCGTCCGGTTTGCTTGTAGTACGCGGTTCCCCATGGGATATGCTCAAAGTTGATATTGAATGTGCCCAGGGTCTTTGCGAGTTTCTCGATGACCTGGATAGTAGCGCTGACTACCTCGAGACCAATGCCGTCGCCTGGGATTGAGGCAATGCGATATGAATTCTTTGAAGCCATGATGAGAGAGGAAATACGTGGAACTAGAGAAGATGTGGTGAGTATTTCCAGACAGGTAAATGCCAGACTATATATAAAACATGTCTGCAATCAAATATGGCTGATAGTTCACCCTGCCATATAAACTTTTTGACCGAATGGCCGCTGTAACGACGAAGGCCTTTCGGCAGAACTTTCAGGCGATGGGATTTGCCGTTCGCCACTGTCCCACACGCTCTCCTCAACACACTGTTGAATCAACCACAGAAAATAAAATGCCATCGAAATCAAAAGCAAAAACACCAGCGCGTATAACAATCGCTTGCAATGCGTGTCGTTCAAAAAAACAAAAATGCAGCGGCCGAAAACCAATTTGCGAACAATGTCTCGAGAACAATCGACCATGTAACTGGCCCGAACAGCTTCGAAGAGGACCTGAGAAAGGATATGCCGAAGCTCTAGAAAACCGACTCCAGCTCACTGAGAGCATTCTTTTAAATTTGCTTCCACATGTCTCGGACGAGCAGCTGTCGGCTGCGATTCCTCGCCGAGAGAGCAGCGGCACGTATGTGCCATTCCCCAGACTCGAGAAGAGAGGGATGGAGAGTTGGTCGCAATTCCCTCTTGATACTTATCATGGTATTCGGAGGTGGCAACAGGCTTGTACTGAGTCTGAAAGGGTGGGTTCGGAGGTACAGCAGGAGGGCTCTAAGAGAAGGCGTTTGCAGAATGGAAGCTCGGATGGTTTGATTCAGACATCTACCACAACACGAGACATCAATGGAAGTTCCAATGAAACCACCAACCGTGCGGTCCTGGAGTCGTCTGGTAATGCACGTGAAGAGAGTGCCCTGGTTGAGAGAATGATGAGCTCCTGGCAGGGGGCCCCTTCGGTCGAGTTTCAACGCCAGTTCCTGTGGTGAGAAAACAGAGGTAGAATTCTTGCTTTGAGTTTGTTTCCTATCTACACTGGCACTTCTAAGCGAACTATAATAGGCAGTGGGCTTTGGGCAATCAAAATGGGTTCTGAGGATATCAACCATTGAGAAAAGTCATGTTAAAGATTGACTAATATCAAGCAAGTTTAGCACAGGAATCACAACCCTATTTTACATAGTCAACTAATCAGTGAAAAATATTCCGTTTGTACTCTGCGCCCTCATCTAGCCCTGATATGGGCTACACTAGGAAAAGAAAGACATAAGAATCCTAGGTGTGAAAAGAGGCACCACCCCAACTACGTCTGAAAAATTCTTTTGATATACGAATTTAGTGTAGGATAAGTGCCCAGGTGGTCAGCTTTGAAACGTTTGACCAAAAAAAAAAAAAGAGATATTCCTGCAGGAACGGAACCAAATATTAGGGCCAATGGCGTCATTAGGTTTATGTCACCACGAAGCTCCGTTCTTATTTTTTTAACACGGAGGGAGTCGACCGACGAGCATATTTAAGTCTTGACCGGGGGGGGGGGGGGGGGGGCAGCTATGAGATGCTCACCCATATTCCCCACGCAGATGGCTGCAACTGCCGCAGGTATCGCCACTAGGCCACGGGTATCGCCACTAGGCCACGGCCACCCGGGGATTTGCTATATTAGGATGACTCTTTTACATATAAGAACATTTCTTAGCTCTTACTTTATCTATGCCTCGCTTTAGATAGTGAGCTTCAGAAATTAGAATGGTACAAAGATTGAGATTTTATTTGAGGATATTGTACTTACTAGTAGAATTACTAGTAGAATATGGCTATTAGAGATTCATCTAGATGAGCCTGTTGTAGATCTTAAAGGTTGTAGTCTCCCCTACGAGACATTGGAGTCATCCTTTTTGAAGAATTTAGCGATCTTGAATGTGCCCTGCTCGATTTCCTCACCACAGAGGGTTTTAATACCTGCTTCAAGATGGAGTTGCACCAATTACTTCGGCACTATTATACGGTTCCCATTGCCCGGCGCGATCATGTTTCCCAAAGGAAAAGTTCCACAATGAGATCTCCATCATGCAATTTATCTTGGAAAAACTCCAGATAAACTCCCAATCCCGGTACCTTCCGTCTTTCGCTGGGGAGAGACAAAAGAGTCTCGGGGCTGGGCCTTTTCATCGTCATGAACTATATCCCCTATAAGGGGAGTAGGGGTGATCTTCTTGAGACACCAGGACGTCAAGCAGGACAGGCTAGTACTTAATCCGGACCTCAAGCCGGTCAAACTAGAAGCTCTCTATAAAAAACTAACCAACATCGTCCTTTCGTTGTCTACACTTTCTATGTTTGCCGGTATAAGAGCAACCAGTCAAGTAAAAGAAGTTGTTTGAAATCAGTTGTCTAGATTGCTGAAGGTTGTAGTAGGGGAATAGGATGAACAGGATGCGAGAAAGCGCGTTGTAGATAATTAAATGGTGACATGTCCACGGGTGCGACGTGAGACATGCAAACAAAATCCCGAAAAATACCACTTTGATATCTATTGAGTACAAAAATCGGACAGCTTCATGTGTAAGGTGTCCTGCATCTAAAGTCTAGCCTCTTTCCCAAAATTGAAAACGATCTTTTCCCCAGTAACCAAACTCTTCTGCAAAGCCGAACCAATAACAACTGCCTTCACTGAGCTTGAAAGGGACACTGGCGGAGTCGTGTTATCCAAGCAGGAAGCAGTAAACTCGTTAGCTTCCGTGAGGAAAGCCTCTCTGAAACGCTCATAATAATGCTTAGGTAGATCGCGTCTAGCTCCCTGCCCATCATGGATCTCAAGGTGGTTCTTCCGGCCTTGCATGTTGACTCTGAGTGAGCCTTTCTCGCAGATGATCTCGGTAGTATCTTCCTGTCCAGCAGCCATCATACGCGAGCAGAAAAGGGTAGCAATCTTGCCACCGTCAAACTCGACCGTAGCTACCGCGTTATCACGGTCCTTGCTCGAGTCCAATGCAGTATGGACGGCAACGACTCCAACGGCTTGCAAACTTTTGATATTGGTGTTCTCGCCAAGGAACCACAGCATGAGATCAATATCGTGGATGGAGCAGTCGAGGAAGATTCCACCACTGGTCTTGGCGTACTGCACAAACGTCCCAGTAGTGTCGAGCATATCTGCAGTTTGGGATCTGAAGACCACTGGTCGGCCGTGTTGACCTGATACCATTCTCTCGTAGGCCTCGCGGTAAGAAGCATCAAAGCGACGCGAGAAACCGCACATGACCTTCTGGTTGGGGTGGGTTTTGAGAGATGTGTTGTACGCGTCGAGAACAGATTGGGCCTGTTGTAGTTAGACTGTGTCTCTGTATTTGGTCTCACGTAAAAATGCTTACAATCTTGATGTCAAGAGACAAAGGCTTCTCGCACATGACATGCAATCCCTTCTTGATAGCCGCAATGGTATGATCTGCGTGGACTGCAGTAATACCAGCAACGACTACAGCATCCAAGTTTTCTTTCTCGAGCATTTCATAGTAGTCTTTATAAATTCTGGCTCCCGTGAGGCTTTCTGATGCCCATTTGTGTTCGTTGAGATCAGGAGAGCTTGCTGCTACCACTTCGGCACGAGGCGTGAAAACATGGTAGTTCAATGCGTGTCTCTGGCCTGGTATGTGTCAATTGAAGACCTTCGCCTAATCGTGAGAACAATGCTTACCCATTCGGCCAAGACCGGCAATACCGACGCGCAACTTCGGGGCTGACATTTTAAGAGGAAGGGGAGTTTTGTTTAAGGGAGTAGTAACAGATGAAGACTTTGAAAAAGTGCTTTCGAGAAGTAGTCGCTTCAACAATGTCTCAGCCGGGTTTATATATACAATCGTTGTTCGGAGTGGATACAATGCTTGGCCGGGAAAGGGAATCCGAATAGAACTAAGACTTGCCAACCGATAATGCTATCCCACTCGCAAGAAGCATCGTCGAAGTTATTTCACCACCGAACCTATTATGCTACACCCGCCTATTTTCTAATGTATTTGAGAAGGGCCAATGTCATGGTAGTATATGCCTCCCTAGTCCAATGCAAAAAACCTTTAGATTTTATTTTATGAGCAAAGTAACTTGAACTAGCAAACTATGATGAATACTTGCTAGACTCTTCAATAATATCTGAGACATTCTGGGGTTTCACAGACAAATGCGCTTTGCCCTAGGATGAATGGGATCCAGCCGCCCCCGGGCCGCTTAGTCTTTACCCCACAAACTTTAAAAATAACCCATTCCAAGGTTAGAAGATTGGCTTCGGGGAGCATGTCCGTAGAAATCTTTTTATGTTGTTACCTACGGAAGAAATTTGGATGGGAGACCGAAGCGAAATATATTCTTTGGTTGTCTGTTGGAAGAATATCTTCCAAGGTCACGAGGTGGGCATCTTATAGGTGTGAAGTAGCCCCAATACTGTCTTCCCAGGACTGCCTTCTATATCTGTCACAATCTATACAAGTTAAAGGGACCCCAAATCCAAAATCAAGCCGCAATCTCACAGTGCTCAGTGTCAAGATTTTCCTTCCCAGTGTGTGCCAAATCAGAAATAACCTCCGTACGGGCTATCATGGTTGCCTCCGTCCAACTAATTGCATTCCCAGCCTCATGTTTGATTTCAAAGAGTCTGTCAATCTGCTCAAGAGACAAGTTCGCAGTCTCAACATAGAAGTACCAGATAATTGGCAGGAAACTGAAGTTGAAAATGGCAAAAAGCATGTAATACTTCCACTGAATGCTTGCGATGGCCGTTGGAGTAGCAACAACGATAACATAAACGAACAACCAATTCGTAGTGGTAGCAAATGAAGTACCAATATTGCGCATTTGCTGGGAGTTTATCTCTGCCGGGTAGATATACGGAATCGATAAGAGTGACGTGCCGTAGAAGATGTAGTAGACGAAGATGAACACCACAGCTAGAACAGACATGCCCTTGTTGTCGGGTCCACCATACCGCAGTCCAACGGCAACAAGTGCAAAGCAGACGCTGCTTCCAGCGGCGCCAAAGAGCATCAATCTCTTTCGGCCAATGCGATCGATGAGCATAGCTGCAACACAGCCCCAAAACATCAGCGAAATAGAGTCAACGGCTGACAATATCAGGGCCATTCTGTTGTCCAACCCAACTGATCGAGTCAGAACCACTGGTAGATAATATGCGATAACGTTTGTTCCGCCAACTTGCTGAAAGAAGGCAGTACCAGCTCCAAGAAGAATTCTGCGCAATGTCTGTTGCTTGCTCTTACGCTTGAAGATTGCCTGTAAAGGCTTCGATTGTTGGACTTCGGATTCATGGTTCACAGAAATCTCTAGACTTTGTATCTCGTCCACCACTTCCTGGTCATCGGTTGACTTTGCAAGGAGTCGTGCTAGGATTTCACGGGCTTCATTGGCACGGTGTTTCATAACAAGCCAACGCGGTGACTCTGGGGCGACAAGAACGAAGGCAATGGTGACGAGGGCAAAGAAACACTGGAAGCCAAGAGGAAATCGCCAGCTCACTGGAGAGTGAGGAATAAAAGTGAATCCATAGTTCATCCACTGCAAAAAGAATCAGCATTGCTCTCTCTCGTGTTGTGCATGAGGTAGCTTACATTTGTGATGACGATTCCGAAAATATTCGTTACCAACTGAGCAACGATGAGTTTCCCACGATGCTTTGCACGTGCAGTTTCCGATTGCCAGATAGGAATTGCAATTGTGTTCATTCCATTTCCCACGCCTGCAACAACACGACCGACAATCATCTGCGCGAGGGAATAGGATGCAGTTTGGAGAATCGCGCCGACGATGAGGATGCAGCACCCGATCAAAATTGTCCGTCTTCGACCAAGTTTGTCTCCAGCGTACATTGTCACCAAAGTGCCTATTATACAGCCAATATCATAAGTCGCAACGATTTGACCTTGAATGGTCACGCTTGGGTTTCCAAATGTCTCGAGAAACGGCTTGTTGTCCAAAAGCCCGCCAAAGACTCCCTGATCATAACCAAAGAGGAGGAAGCCGGCACCGCATGCTGCAGTAATTCTGTATTGAAGCCATTTCCCCTGTGCATTCTGGAAAAACATGATGAGTAGGGTTTCCTCAATGTACCCAAGAGGTGTTATATTAGCACGGACCACTCGTGTGCAGTTTATATCAGTATTTATATACAATGCAATCTACTTTCTGTGATAGGACTACCAGATAAACCAACTAATCCTACGAAAACCTGGGGTGTTGCAGAAAACGTGGGGTATCGAACCCCCACCCCGGGTATTGATTCCCGTAGGCGTGGTCTATTCCTAATTAGGTTAGATCCAACTCCGGATATACCAGCGATTGGTCCCCGGAGGAACCACTGGAACAAAATTAAGGCGACATCTCCGTCGTCAACGCCGTCTATCATAGACGATGAGGTCACTCGCAGTTTACATATACGAGTCTACTCCGTTTGAAGCCCCAAAAATACAAATGCGGGGATTGACAGTGGTCCTTTTAGTAGAGCCAATAAATGGCAGTGGAAGCTTTATAGTTCGGATTAAACATTTCCCCTTTAATCTCACCCCGCACTTCACTTAGATCTTTCAAGTCACCCTCGATATTGCTAAGAGCCTAGTCTATTGCAAACGCATAGTCTCATGGCAGCCAGAAGGACGAAGAAAATATGCCAAAGCCCAGTGTCCCCCCAAAGAGGCACCATGCCTCCATGGCATGCGTATCATGCCGGGAGAGTAAAGTCAAGGTGACTATCAATTAGCCCGGTGGAAATTGCAAGAAGCTAATCCCAGCAGTGCGACGGTGGTAAGCCCAAATGCTCCAGCTGCATAAATAAGCACCGCGAATGTCGATACCAAGCTGTAGACAAGAGAAAGTAAGTGACCCATCAAGTCATTCCATAAAAAAATGGCTGTCGGTTAGATCATAGCGCTGATCATGTTCAGACTCCCACTCCGTGTTGCCATAGAGCTTCTATCAAGCAGAGTTGAACAGCTCTGTCTTTTCATTCGCGAAAGTGGATTAGAGGCCCCGCCTATGCCGCAAGAAAAGGATACGGCTCTGGCTAAAGTACTTGATCTCCTTGGCTTGACTGAAGTTCATTCAGCTGCAGGAAACAATTACACTAAGAGAAAATCCCCCAATCACAACTCCCCATCTGCAAAGGATGATCTGCCTTCTGATGCACCAATTTCTCTGCCATTCTCCGCTGCTGGTATAACAAATGATTTGAACAGCACTTGGGCCCAGGCATCAAAATCCCCCGATAACACATCGCAAAATTCCCAGTCGAGTTTTGCAATGCTTTCGAATCCTCATGCTGTGTCGACACTGCCAATGATCCTCGACACTGGAGATCTGGACATCTCAATTGCAGAAGAGTATCAACCCGTGGATGATCACTCGGATCATTCATTGGCCAATTGGGACTGGACCTTGGATTTTGGAACATGCATTACACCACCATCTCCAGATATCCAAGACATTAGGGTAGAGCCACTACAATCGCCAGGGGAGCAATTCGAGAGACGACCTGAGCCCTTTGAGCCTGCCGCCGTTCAAACCCCACCCAATCTCAACAACGATACTAGAAGCACCGAAGAGATTGAAGATCTTATTGATGAGCTTTCTGATCGGATGGGCACATTGCGCTTTGGCCCTGGAGGACGAGCTCGCTTCTATGGCCCGACATCGACCTTCAACCTTGCCGACGCTCCAGTGTCTATCAACACGCAGAAACAGCGTACCGTCGATTATCTCGACGACATAGAGTATGACCAACAAGTTCCAATATCTCTTAAGGAGCATCTCCTCAATCTCTACTTTACCTGGCAAGATCCATCGTTTCACGTCGTCGACCGAGGAATGTTCGAGAAAGGAAAGACAGCCTGGGATGGGAGAGAAGTGACCCCGTTCTATTCCGAAGCACTCTGCTATGCAATGTGAGTTTGTATCAATTCGACAAACTAGATAAGTGAAATAACATTCGGAAATAGGTGCTCTCTCGGCGCTGCTTTTGAAACCCGTTACCACCCATCCTTTGTCACGTTCCCAAAGTCTCTCGGTGAATTCTTTGGTGACCGTGCAAAAGAGCTTCTGGAAATAGAACTAGACTCCCCATGTGTTGCAACAATCCAGGCGCTAGTCATCTTGAGCAGCCATGAAATTGGTGTGGGCTCAGATACACGTGGATGGCTATACAGTGGTAAGCTCTATTGAAAGTTCCTGGGTTGCTTAGCTTACAATCATAGGGATGGCCCTTCGACTTGCTTTTGATCTTGCCTTGCATATTGACCTCTCTCCCTATGTTGCTCGTGGGTCTATTACCGCTGCCGACGCCGAGCTGCGTCGAACCGTCTTTTGGGCTGCGTATATGGTGGATCAGTGAGTTCCCACGGTATTTTCGTATTCGCTTAGGCTATACCTAATCTGCTAAATTCCAGTCTTGTCGGCTTCTACCTGGGCAGACCTTTTTACACCAACATGGAGGATGTGACAGTGAAAAAGCCCAACGACGACGTCGACTACCGAGCACCTTGCAAATGGACGCCCTACGCATCTCCCATTCCATTTGACAATAATTCGGGATTATATGACTGTGTAGGGGCTGTCAGTCGACAGGAAGTTTCACTATGTGAGCTTATGGCACCTTGTGGCTACTTCCTGTAAGTTCCCGTTCTCGTTTGTCGTCTCTCCTCGGCTGCCTCCATTGGGAGTCAGTGCTTCGGCTAACCTAACCTTCACCCCGAAAAGATATGGAACATCAGGTATTCCAAGAGCCTTGCTCCAACAGCTTAATGCAAATAATGTTGCCAAGCTTCTCAATTGGAAAGCTCAGTTGCCCTCATTTTTACAAATCGACCTCAACAACCACACTTCTCCTTATCTTCCGCATGTGCTACTACTTCAGTGAGTTGCTATTATACTTGTCTTCAAAAGTCTTTGGGAACATGTTTACTAACTCATCCTAAAGCATGCAATATTACCAGAACCTCATCTACAGCCATCGACCCTGGATGTCAAAAGGCTACCTCCAACCACAGCCCCCGAAGGGACCTGGTTCCACCCACGCTCGAGAAATGTGCATCAACTCCGCCATCTCCATTGCCAAGATCCTTGTATTATACGAGACCCGATATACCCTCCGCCGCATAAATATCAAAGCCGTCTCAATTACCTCCTCTGCCGTGCTCCTACTTCTCTTCGCCGCCGTGTCCCAATACCAAACCCCCGAAGGAGAGAATATTATCGCTCACCTGAGTACCTGTTTCAGAGCCCTCGATGAGTTCTCTCTATCCTGGCAGAGTGCCAATCGCGCTAAAGACCTTCTGGTAAGGCTCCAGCATAAATGGGAGATCCGTACACGTGCTACCAAGCCGGACCGCGGATCTGACGGGACTGATTATCCGCCAAGAAAGCGGTCGCGAACACTTAATGGATCTGACGCCATAATCCCTAATCCTGGAGGGCTTACAAATACACAATCTGAGACGCGTGATTTTCAGTTGGAGTCTGGGTTGGGCTGGATGCTTATGCTCAGCGGCCAGCTGCCATCGGATGGGGATGAAAATCTCTATTCATTCATTGCGAACACGGATATTCCGGAATTCGAATACGACACTAGATAGACATTAGGAGATTCCAATTTATTTAAATTTGGAGATGGTGGAATTAGCTTCAAATGTGCACATCATTGGTAAAAGGTACAACGGGTGATCCACAACGGCGATCCTCCCCAAAAGTCGGGTGCGTTTTTAAATTGGGCTGGGCCGAAGTTCTGCCAGAGTTTTTTGCAGGTTCAGCCACTTAATCAATTACAGTTCACATGGTTCGAACCCCTGTATTTTCTGCACCAAGAATTGCTTATTTGCGCCTTTTAGGGTATCAACCTACCAGACAGAGCACCCTGTATTTTCTGCACCGAGAATTGCTTATTTGAGCCTTTTAGTGCATCATACCATACGAAAGTACGCTTTCATATATGATATGTATATTGTTCTCTTATCCTATGCTTTCGACCCGCAGTTGCCCCTGACTCCAACCACGATCACCCCTGCTTGTTCCATCACCGCTAGTTTCACCACTTCAATCTATTCCGCAACCCGTTGCGAGCCTATCGCAAGCCTATCGTAAGCCTATCGCAAGCCTATCTCGGGAGTACTTCGGGGCGTGTCTCGGTGATTGGTGCGGCACATTGCGGGACAGGAAGCCCGGTGCAGATTCGGGAACGAGCTCGGCGGAATCGGAGAATCAATCCTCTAGCTATAGAGAAGGTATCGTGGTAATGAAACAGTTGATGAAAATTTTACTAGGGTAAGAAATGGGGTGAGAAATGGGGTGAGAAATCAGGTGAGAAATCACATGTGATAGGTGTGGTTTATTTTTATTCGGCGTTTACGTATGGAGTGCAGGTATTTTATGGTCACTGTTTTAGTACATTCTACGCCTAGATAGGGCAAGAGCGATGCCCAAACTAGGAAGGCGAACCTAAAATTCCATCCTGGTGGAGAGGTGGGTCGCTATAGCATCGCCATGCTCAACCCTAAATGAAGACCAACGGTTTATTCGAACTTTCATCAAATAAATAACGTGGCAATCTCATATGTAGATCTATTTCAAATAGAATGCCAAGTCCGCCCCATCTTCTCTCTCCCACTCTAGTTCTCCATTTCCGAGATACGAGAACGGATCCGAGCTGTTGTTGTACCGGATATCGAAGTCCTCACCCCGAATATCCTCGATAGCCTCTATTGCCAAGTCAGTACGGAGTATGATCAGGAAATATTCCTCCCATGCCAATTGTCAAACTTGCCTTTGTAATGCAACACACTACCTGGGTACATCGCCGTAACAGCTTGACCGTTGTTATACCAAGCATGGCAGCCCTTGCTCCACACAGTACGCTTTAGACTTGCTTGCGCACGACGGTTGTAGTTTCGAACAGCGGAATCCTTTACTGCTACGGACCTGTTCAGATATTAGTTGGAGACCATGTATCCCATCTCACACAATACTCACTTGATATCCTCCCGAGCTATCTTCTTCAACCATTTCAGTATGTAATCAGCAGTCCAACTGATCATCTGGGGCACGCTGCCATGGCCAATGGGACAATTGGGCCCATTAAACATGAAGTAGTTTGGTATTCCACCGGCGCAAATAGAGAAGTATGCCTCAGGTACCTTCTTCCACTCCACATCAAGCCGTCGACCTTCCCGAGCAACAAGCTCCCACCCGGGAACGAAGGTAGTATCAAACCCAGTCGCACAGACAATCAAGTCAAACTCCTCTTCACCCGCTGCCGTGCGAATACCGGTCTTGGTAATTTCCTCAATACCTTCAAAGCACCATTCAGCATTTGGTTGCTGTAGCGCTTCGAGATACCCATCACCAGGACTCAATCTGCGACATCCAATTTCGAACTCGGGGATAAGTTTGTCGATCAGGTCTGGATTATCACTGAGACGCTGGCGCATAGTTCCTGAAATGGCATCAAATAGCATTTGGTTATGCTCAGAGCCAGATAACATCAGGCGATAGACGGTGTTAACACTTCTCATAATTAGTCTGATTCAATTGAAGAAGAAAAAAAAAAAAAAAATTAAGCAGTAACCTACGAGCAGTCAACCCGTTTCCTGTACTCCAGGAATGCTTGGGGATCATCTCGGAACTTGGCTTTCTCTTCCTCGCTATATTCAAAGTTCGTTCCCATTCCATCCTTTGTAATATCCGGGCAGAGATTGACCGACACCCAGGTCGGGTGGCGAATGTAATTGACGATCTTTGCGGCCTTGGGTTGGAGTGCAGGAACAACTTGGATACCAGATGAGCCATTGCCAATGACTGCTATTTTCTTGTTGGACCAATCGTACGTTTTGTCCCAAGCAGCCGTGTGGGCAAGCTTCCCAGCAAACGTCTCCAAACCGGCGATCTCCGGCATCTTCCATTGGTTGAGAATACCAGAACCATTGATAAGAACCTCGGCTTCATCATGGATTATCGTGCCATTCTGGTTGAGCTCGAGTGCCCATTTGCCACGCTCCTCATTCCAAATGGACTTCACGAGCTTGGTATCAAACACAATCGGATCTCTCAATCCATATTTATCTACCGTATCAACAATGTATTTCTCAATTTCGTCACCACCAGCGTAGCATTTGGACCAGTTCGGATTGGGCTCGAATGGTAAGACATAGCTGTGGGCGGGGACATCGCATCCAACACCAGGGTAGACATTCTCAAACCATGAGCCTCCAACCTCGCTATTCTTTTCGTAGATCGTGAAATTCACAAAATCAAGTGGATGCTCATGTTTCAGTTTATGTGCAAGAATTATGCCAGATATACCTGCGCCGATGCAGATGACTCGGAGGTTGCGCTCCTTGAAAGCATATTGACCGGGGTTTATATTGATAGTCTCACTGGAAAGGGATTCGTTGGATGGCATGGTAGCGCACATCAGTGGAGGTTTTGTTTTGTTTTTTTCCTACCTGTTTCTTATCCCACTCTCCACTGTGTGTGTGTGAAGACGGAGAACTTCCGGTCAGACGAAATACTCCAAACTCAGGGGTTGTCTCCATAGCTTTAGCGTCATAACAGTAGTACATAGTAGCGTTGAGTAGCGTTGAGTAGCGTTGACCGGGGTTTGAAATTAAATCCGAATCCTTCTGGGCGAGGATTAAAAGCCACGTCATAGGCCAATATCATTTGATGGGTTTCATCCAAGACGGGAAGTGGAGATCCGATTGATATTGCCCACGCCTGGTATTGGGGCCGTTCCTTGGCCATGCATTTTAAACCCTGTGAAGAGATTTAAACTATGAATGTATGAATGTATGAAAAATCTTAATTTGGGACTGGCTTTAAAGATAGCTTATCCTGTACTCACCCTATTTTTTCATCGGATGTGAGACTTTTCTCTACTTCTCTACATGTCGCACAGCCCGATAGGGCAGCCTCCACCAGGCACGGATCTATCCGCCGATCACCCACTGAATATTTCTTCTGTGATCGCCACCTATGCCATTGCAGTGGTAGCTGTCGGGCTTCGGTTCTATACAAGATTTCGAGTGCAAGGTGTACGAGTACTTGCAGATGATTGGATGATCGTGCTTGCCTTGGTATGTGATCACTGAAAAAACAAAAAGAAGAGGGGGGAAAAAAAAAACAAGGAATCTGTTTCTGACAGACATATACAGCTGGCTGTAACCGCAGGTTTCGCTTTGGTCGTGATTGGTATTTATACATCCTTAGTCGGCGCAAAGCAATCTCAATTCTGAATTCTGACTTGTTGGTAGTAAATCGAAATCCTTGTATCGGGAGACATGTATGGACCGTCCCTCAGGTCCAAGTCGAGGATATGATGCGCATTCTCTTCATCTTCGTCGTCCTCTACGTGATCAGTGCGCCACTCATTAAACTGTCCATCATTCTTTTCTACCGCCGTATCTTCGGCATGACATATTCGATCTGGTTCTGCGTGTTTCTATCGGTTGGATATTTTGTCTCTGGCATAATCGCCTTTCTGGTTTGCTGCAGACCAGTTCCATACTACTGGACACAGTTTACAAACCCTGATGGAGGAAAATGCGTCTACAACCTCTATAACTTCTATATCGGCTATGCTGGCGTGAATGTGACCACGGATGTGGCCATCCTGTTGGTTCCAATGCCCATTGTGTGGAAACTGCAAATGCGAAGGACACAGAAACTCCTAGTATGCGGCATCCTTTTGATTGGAGGATTGTGCGTCACCTCCCCCCTAGTCAATTGTATTTGGCTCAAGCTTATATTTTTCTAGTGTCTGTGTTGCAAGCCTCGTCCGAATTTATTACATAACCTTCCTCAAATCCGAAGATTACACCTGGGTCATCGGCAAAGTCTTCATGTGGTCCAGCATTGAGCCCTGCATCGGCATTTTATGCGCCTGTCTTCCGACATTGCATCCACTGATCCGCGCCGCTATGTCTTGCATGTTTGGCACTAGCTCGGCGAGGTATGTTGCTTCAAGGAACCAGGAGACAACGAATAAAAAGACATTTATTCGTAGACAAAGGCCACTTGACTGGGATGAGACCTTGTTAACTACACGTGACATACAAGTCGAGATGAGCGGAGTCAGGAGGGATCATCATGCCGAGGATGGGCATATCACTGTGGACATGGAGTTTCAAATCGTCGAAGAGAGCAACCAACTAAATAAACGCTAGCGGGTAATGCTTTACCCCTAAAGTTAGGGCATATTATGTGCCTGTTTTCTAAGGTATCTACCTTCCCAATACAGTCAAGTCAACCTTGGAACCCCGGACTTGCTGATTAATATATCTTCCCCTCCAGGGCTCGGAGCAGGTCTCGAGGGCTACATGTACCGTAATCACCCATCTTTCCGAGAGCGCCGTAATGGTGTTAAAAAAATGCTCCATCTGTTCGCGGGTGTTCAAAAAAACCGAACACTATAAGAGACATGAACGGTCGCGTCAGTCACGTCGAACTCCTGCAAGAGCTACAACATAAACCTAACATGCAAAACAGACACCAAGGAACGCCCATATGAATGCAATATCTGCCATAAACATTTCTCTCGAAGGTAAATTCCGTTGAAGGCGCATGTGAATTGTAGCAATATTCAATATTCTATGTTCAAATCCCTGAATTGAATGAGCATACAGCGATGTCTTGAGCCGACATGCCAAAGGCCATAATCAAGCCAATGCGACAGCCGGTCCATCGGAAGGGCCAAATCGACAGTTATCAGTAATTGCGGGTGCACCATCAACGGTCCCCGGATCAGAAAATGGTTTCAGCAGCGCAGAAGCACAGATTCCACCTCTATCTAGCACTTCGCGAGATGCGCCTCTCGCATCAATGGAGCTTCCATCGTCCCTAGATTACCTAGCTGACATTTCAGCCCACCATGGCCGCACCGAGCCAGATCTCGGCGTGATGATGGACGACCAGCAGCAGTACTTCGGATGGAATGCAGTCACGGCTGCAGATCAGGTGTCACATCGAGCCGACTTACCCTTTGGTCCTGGGCCAAAAGACATGCTGCAAATGTGGCTTGAACCTCGCACGGATTCAGGGTCAAATGACTCGCTAGATTTGATACGCGATAGCCATTTCCCTTTAATGGGCGGCAATTTGATGATTGCTCCAGACCGACAGAATCAACATTCAGTCGACGGCAGCGATAACATTCCCAATGAACGCTTTGCTAAGGTCCAGCAGTGCTGGCTAACACCACCGAACACTGGGCGCCTTATCAACAGCTTATGGCGGGATATCGCCATGTCGCCTGTTGATAATATCCTCTCGGTTCAGTCATCACACTTTCCTAGAGAGTCAAATTTCGTTCAAGGATCGCGGTGTGGATTCGACGAGGATTGCAGACAGCGACTGCAGGCAGCTTTTGGGCCGACGACTGTTTCTGGGCATATGCAATCCCCCATAAATAGGAATATCGCTCCAGACACGCCTGCCTCGAGCTTGAATCATTCTGATTTCCCTCCTGCTGAGATCTTGGATATGGCACTGGATTTATTTTTCCGCATCTTTAATCCCCTCTTGCCGTTCGTCCATCAGCCGACATTTTCGGCAAAGAAGGCGCGACCATCTCTCCTATATGTCATGACACTGGTTGGTATGACATTGCTTGGCACCAAAGGAACAACTGCGTTTGTGTCCAGAAATTTCTCGGTATGTCAAATATTGTTAAGAGCGTCGTATATGCAGGTAGCTTACTGGCAGTCATTAGGGCGCTTTGGACAAGGTCACAGCTGAATTTTCTCGATGCTCAATGGGACTTGAGAGCGCTTTCGGCACTATGACATTATTTGCGACAGTTTTGCTTTTATTAAACCTGGCTGGTTTGACCGGGGTATGAATCCCTCAGCCTGAATTTGCTGTATCTGAAGGTACTAATTGATGTCATTTTACAGGAAAAGGTACATCTGGAACAGTGTCAGCCTCTTTATATCAACGTCATGTCTGTAAGTGTGAAGAGAACCTACTTGTTTTCCTCTATCGCCGTGATACTAATGACAACTACTGCAGGTCGCTCAAAGACATGGGTTGTTTTCAGCCACTGAGGGGCAAATCCTTGACATGACTCTGTTCGAGACAGTTTCCGATATTGAGCTGAGATGGAAAGCCTGGAGCAAGGTCGAATCAACCAAGAGGTATGCCGCGATTCCCGCTCATACAACAGTGTTCATCACTAATAGTCTCCCCAGAGTAATCATAGGACTACTGCTCCTGGACTCTTGGTACTCTTCGTTCCTCTCAACCGGCCCAATCGCAGTCCCAGATTCGATCCAACTCATCCTCCCCTGCAGCGAATCTCTCTTCAGCGCCCAATCCCCCGCCCAATGGACACACCTAATCCGCAACGGCAAGCGCATCCTCTCCTCAACAATCCTCGCCCCATCCGAAAACATCAACGTCCCCGCCCTAGAAGCCCCCGCAGATGACTTCTGCATACAAGTAGTACTAGCAATAGTTCAACTTCGCCAGTCGGAATCCTACCACCGCCTCCTCTCCAATAGAGCCAGCTACCCCTTTGCTCCATGTCACACCTACGCCATGGATGGCCGAGCCAGGTGTCTCCCCTCCCTCCAATCCCAGCTCATCATAAACTACGGCGAAACCCTTGACCGGCTAAACCCCAACGCTCTCATCACATGGCACAACATGTGCATGACTCTCACAGCCGATATCCAAATATTCGACCTCGCAGCTGGCCGTGCAGGTCCAGCTCCCGCGCGCAAGGCCCTCGACGATATCCGCGAGTGGTCACAGACACCTGCAGCCAGACGCGCGTGTCTGCACGCTGCGCATATCTACAAAGTCATGACAAATCGCAAAGCATCCGACCACCCCACGTTCCAATCTATGTTTTCGCTTTTTTCGGCCGGATTAGTGCTCGGTCTGTATACGTTCATGGTGTCGGAATCTGCGAGTTCGCCGTCTAGTGCCGGGTCAGTGGAGTTGATGGATGATGTCGACTGGAGAGAGGTGGGCACGGAGGGGTTCACGAGTTTCATGGAGCCTAGTGGAAGTCAGACTCTCGCCCCGATGGATGATTCTACTGTTAATTTCATTCGCCATGGGGCTTCTATCTACTTGCGAGGACTGCCGTTGCATGGTGGGTATCAGTCTGCGCGTCGGATCATGCTTGATTATGCCTCTCTCCTCAAGGACTCTGGGAAGTGGAATGTCAAGAAGTTCTCTTATATTTTATACATAATGAGTGATGTTCTTATGGATGTCGAATGATAATGTCCCAACTGGGATTGACGAAAGAAACCTATTCTGGTTGATTCTCTTTTACGTCCATATTAAATCAATTTCAACGTAGGAGTAATCGGGCCTGGGTGAGAAAGGTGCCCAAATAAGGGCAAGTCCCACTCGGTTAACCTTCCCTTCCCTTCCCGCACGGAGTAGCATCATTGGATCCTCCTTGTGTACCTCAATTGAGCTAGACTGACTCGAGTTAGCCTTGAAGGCTCAGCTACATGGGGCCAATTTAAGAATGACTGACCTCAGATCACACTCCTGGATAGTATTATGCTACACTGACATTTACTGTCACATGATATTGGTGTCATGGCTCCTAATGAGAGTATATAGAGTAAGTAGTAGCTTGAATATTCCAAGGTACTACATAACTATGTAAATTATGATGGCGAATGATTGATTCTGGAAACGAACCACCCATCCAGCAACATATGTCTTTGGCAGTTTTCAATGCAGATATAATGATATAATAATTTGTTGATGGTTTATTCCACTTCTCCATCTTTACTAAACCTTCTATAGCCCGGTTGAAGCTTGTCTTTCACAGCATTATGTGAACTGAAGATAAACCATTCTTCTTAAATTGCATGTTACTACATTTTTATTGATTTGAATTGATAAAAAACAACTTGAATTGACAGCATTAGATTCCGTCAGAATCTAATCTCTATGATCGATCCTCCGTACTAAGCCCCGTCGACTTTATTACGAGACCCCCTGGGATCATCACCCAGAATACGCTGAGTATCAACCAACAGATTACCGGCCATAATCTCCTCCCAATGCGAATCAGCAATCTCAGCTGCACGCCACAGAATATGAACACGTACAAGCTCAGCATCCCCCACGACGGACAACGAGAGACAGCATGGTTGAGTGTGGTGCAGAGGCGTAGATGTAATAGTAGCAACTCCGGATCGACACTGCTCGGCCATAAGACGCATCATCCGGTCGCCGCTGTGAGGCTTGGTTCGTCCGCCAAATCTAGTGAAATCTACCGTAACCCAATGGACGAATTCTGTCGTATCGATTTCGGCGATGTTGGTGCCATCGGGGCGTGAGAACATACCTGGTGAGGACATCTTGGTTGAGATGAGAAGGGTGGATTTAGATAGTTGAGTTGGTATGAACTCAAGGTAATTGTGATGACTAGCTCGAGATGGGCTCAGATGAGATGATGAGGTTAATTGATGGGATGCATGGCTAGTTAAATACTAACTCCAGTCCACATGTGCATGTTGTCGAGTCTTTGTTAGAAACAATTGCGTTCACTTTCTTTCATGTCTATATCCGAGCCTTCGGGGAGTTTTCCCTTTACCTCTTTGTCCATATTTGGCCTGAGGCTAGGGTCCATTTGAGCTCCGGCTTGCTTTCCTCCTACATATTTATAGATGTGAAAGATGATATAAGGTGATGTTATCTTTTTATACTTTTATATTTTTATAGTTCCATGGGTCACAAACTTTTGAGTTCGATCTATGTTCTCCAGGGCTTAGCGTGATCCGGCTTCGGGATCGCGTCATTCCTCCCGAGGTCATTACCGAGGTCGCGGGGGGGGGTGCTCCTCCTAAATTATCCTTCCTTCCTCGCAATCTGCTGGTCAATTGCGCCTTCCCGATATGTCTGCACGTGCACTGTTTAAGCAGCAATTTAAACTTAAAAATAAGCTTCCCATTCGCTGCTTTTCCAGCAGCCGATCCACCAATGCGGACTTCACTCATGCGGTACAGTGCACGAGATCCAAGACAGAGACCTAAGGCTAATCTAAATGAAAGGTAATTGGCGCAGGCGTCGTCGGCCTCGCAACCGCACGACAACTTGCAGCTCGCGAAGGCACCTCAACCATTCTACTAGAGCGCCATGACGCACCAGGGACAGAGACAAGCAGTCGCAACTCCGAGGTATGCATGCTATGCGATAAAGCCCACCCCCAACGTTTGGCAACAGACACCATAAACCAAACAAACAAACTAAAAACAACAACCCCTCACCAACTAGGTAATCCACGCAGGCCTCTATTACCCCGCAACCTCCCTCAAAACCAGCCTCTGCATCCGCGGCCGCAACCTCCTCTACGACCTCTGCGCAAAAAACAACATCCCTCACCGCAACACGAAAAAATGGATCGTAGCGCAAACCCCCACGCAATGGGAAGCCTGTCTGAAAATCCACGCGCACGCACAAGGACTAGGCGACGCGCCGACACGGTTAGTGGGACGTGAAGAAGCGCAGCAGCGCGAACCAGACGTCAGGGCCGACGCAGGCATTGTCGAGAGCGAGACATCCGGTATCGTGGACAGCCACTCGTTGATGACCTATCTGCAGGGCGACTTTGAGGACCGGGGCGGCGATATTGCATTCAAGACCCGCGTGACAAGCGTGGAGGCTATTGATGGCGGCCGCGGCGGGTATAAGATCACCGCTGTCTCGGATGAGGATGGCTCGGTTACGTCCATTACCGCTGAGACGCTGATTAATAGTGCTGGTCATGGCGCGTGTGATATTAGCAACATGCTCCTCCCACACGAGCGCCATTTTGTCCCGCATTATGCTAAGGGCACGTATTTCTCTTATGCGTCATCCAGACCCAGGACTTCGGTTTTAGTTTATCCGGCGACTTTGCCGGGTACTGGTGGGCTTGGTACGCATCTGACACTTGATATGGGTGGCCGCGTTCGCTTTGGGCCGGATGTTGAGTGGGTAGATAGTCCTGATGATTTGGTGCCGAGTGCTGCACGTTTGGAGCGGGCGTTGCCGGAGATCAAGGCTTATCTGCCTGGTGTCGATGTCGATGCCATTGCGTTGGATTACTGTGGTATTCGCCCTAAATTGGGGAGGGGTGGTGCTGTAAATGAGGGTAAGGGATTCCAGGACTTTATCATCCGGGAGGAAGAGGGTCTGCCTGGGTTCATCAATTTGCTGGGGATTGAGAGCCCGGGTCTGACGAGTTGTTTGGCGATTGGTGAGATGGTTAATGGTATTTTGTACCGTTAGGTATCTCTTTCAGCTTGTATTTTGGCTTGTAATTACTACATTTTGGATAGTATATAGAAAATACATAGAAAGAAATGGACACTGGACATAGACCATTGGCCAAACCATCCCCTCATTGTTTTGCGTAGAATTTCAGAAAGAGCACGACCTTCGGCTTTCTAATTTCAAAGCCCACAAAAAGTACGCGTCGAGGCTCAAAGACCAATGACATCGAACATACCAGGTGAGATTTTAGTTTCATTTCCTATACAACAACCAATGACATTGAATACATGAGGTGAGATTTTAGTTCCATTGCCTATATCAACGACCAACCCCAATCACTACATCACTACATACATCAACTCCCACTTATCCTCAAAAATGGCATCCCTCCTCACAACTCTAGGCCTCCGCGCCTCCCTCAATCCCACCCCAAACCACGGCCCCACATTCCTAACGTTTAACTTCCTCCTCGCCTACGGCATCCTCTCCTCGCGTACCCTAAAGCAATGGTACGGCCTCGACCATCAAGTCTCGCCACGCGAAGACCTGACCAGATACGGCGAGACGGCAGTGCGTGAAGGCAAGATCACGCGCAAGCAGCTCGATATGCTCAAGCGGAATGAGTCGGCGCATGCTAATGCGGTGGAGAATTTCCCATTGCTGGTTGCAGGTGTGCTCTTTGCATCGTTGGCTGGTGTCCCTGCGCAGAGGGTTAATGCTGCGGCCTTATCTTATACTGTTGCGCGCGTTGTTTACGGTGCTGTTTATATTTTCGTGGATCATCCTACGTGGAGTCAGATTAGGGGGCTGGTGTGGTGGTGGGGGAATGTGAGTTGCTTCTTTCTGTTGTGGAAGGCTGGGGACTTGTTGGCTTGAGGGATTGGAGCTTAGTGTATGTGAAGTGTACTGTATTCTTAGCGAAGTAGAATAGTGCTAGAATAAAAAGAACATGCAAGAAGGCAAATGTGAAGGAGAGTGAGTCTGGCAGTCATCAAGACTGAGCAATAAACAAGACAAACAGCCTCATGTGCAATGCACAAAGCGAAAAAATAACAGTACCGGTACGCCACGACAAGATGAAAAGCAAGAGCAACCCCAGTGCAAAGTATGAACATGCAAAGCTCACTCCGAAGTCAACGTCCAGCGTCTATACAAAAACTCAAACACCACGAGTAACGCAAGTTCTGAACAGTAATACACAAAAGTAAACAAATCATTTCAAGCCAAATCCTTCGCTATTTACAACTGCATCCCAGAGCAGCCGCTGGAACTTCTCCCGCGTAGGATAGCGGTAAAGGCCCAGCGTGTTGAAACATGTACGCGCAATCGGGTAACGGGGACAGTCATCCCCAAGACAAGCAAGTCGGATAATAAGGCTTGTAGCCCCCATGGCAGGGATTCGATCGCTGCCAGTAATGAATGACAGGATCTTGCGCTGATCTTGAGGCTGCGATTTCTCAAAGAAGTCCCAGAACCATCGCACCACGGGGAGCGACTCTGGTCGTGGGTGTGACCAGTTGTCGTAGGTGGCCACAGCCCGGAGTGAATTAACATCGAGTGGTTCATCTGAGCCGCGGACTAGCATTTCGATCTCTTCTGGTCGGAACAGTGATAGCGCATTGCCACCGCAAACCGTGAAGAACCCGCGTTTGAAAGGTTCAAACTGTCGAGCCACGGCTGCGTCCAGCAGATATTGAACATACAAATCCACAAACTCACGCTTGTTAGAGTTGGTCACTGGCCGGTTCTCGCCATTTGCACAAAGTGGCACACTGATGATCTCGCCGTAGCAATCGACCTGGGCAACGAAATCATAGCAGAATGTCTCGGCAACATTGCCTTCAAATTCTAGTAGACCCCGGAGTCCTTTGGCGAGAGTTGGCCGGTACTCGGCAAGATCTTCTAGAGTGCATTTAAAGGTCGAACGCATCGATGTAGCCGTTTGTGGACCGCTGGTGTGCGGCGCTGATGACAGCAGTTTCTTGAACGCAAACGGCGGGAGATCAATATCAAGGATAGTGGAGTTGTAAATGGCGAGACCTAGAAGAACTCCAACCAAGAAAAATTGTTCAGATGACTCAAAGCAATAAGGATTGAAGTAGCAGTACTTTGAATCATCATCGTAGATGAAGAGGCCTATTTTGAATTAGTGAGATGCTTCACTCTAAAATCGGAGAACGCTTACCATGAAGTGGGTCAAAGACTTCTCGGACGAGCAGAAGGAACCATTCCTTCCGCAGGCCACCAGCGTCAATGCCTTCTTCGCCCGAAAATTCGATCCGGAGACCCTTTTTGATTTCTTCTTGGCCAGTACCAACAACTTCACTTACCCCCTTAAGGCTGTCTTCAATCAAACACTCGCGCCGTACCTTCAACACGAGGTACTGACTAACCGCCGTGTGGTTGAGGACACTGTTGAAAAATGCATCGCGTGCTTTCACTTCCATTTGACGACGCGCATCATGCTCCATGATGTGAATTTTGGCCCAGATGCTGAGGAGGAAGGGATACTGACAGAACGAAAACTTCGCGACTTTAGCTTCCCAGGTCTCGAAGTCCGTCACTAGATCCGAATAGTCCAGCAGTGTGTTGTAAAACGTGCTGATCGGAATCATATGTCCCTGACGGGGTCCGGGGTTCTTGGGCATTTCAAGACTGCGCGGGGTTCCATCAGACTTCCTCGCTGAAGAGGAGATGTTAGCCGTAAAGAACAGCGACATTACTCTTGCCGCTGCTCTGACCTGCCAGTCCTCGGCATATATTATGGGGTCTTCGGTTTTTTTGCCAGGCTTCTTGTTCGTGGTACTTCGATTAATCGCAGCGTGAAGTTCCGCAGCAGTATTTCCCGAAGCACTGGCGAAGCTCGGTATTAGATCGTCTCCATTTTGAGGGCTTTGAAGGTTTTGAGGGCGTTTTCGCCCATGCTGACGACTCAAACGGTAAGTGAGAAATCCACAGACAAGTTCTACCAGTCGTTCAAAATGTCTGACAGAGAAACGGGAAGCCCAAGACACGATGTAGTGGTGGCAGTCATTAGGCAAGTTAGACATGAGTCCCAGGATTCGTTTGATAATCCCATAGTGATGTCTGGAGCCCTCTTGACGAGCGGGTGCCTTGGTCGACTCTTTCTGCAAGGCTTTTCCGTCTCGGGTTGCCGACTTCGGATAGTCTTTCGGATGCGAGGGGCGCCTATCGTCTCCATGAGGCGGCAAGGCGGGCGCATGATGGCAATAAGCCGCAGGTGAATACAATAGAGGATTCGCCAACAAAATGAACAAGAACCTGGTATCTTCTGGTTTCTTCAGAACACGGCGCGGGCGCTTGAGGGCGGCCTCGGTAGCTTTCAACAGTGCCCGTTGTAAGTGCAAACGAGACTCGCTGATTTGTCTCCCAATCAAGGATGGATCAATAGACGCCCATATCTTGGCTCGTATCGAATCAGCTTCAGACCGTGTGGGGTCAGGTCTTTTGGCGGCCCAGAGCTCAGTCCAAGAATTCCCCGCTGACAGAATTGAATGATACCACTGGGCTAACTCAGTCCAGTTGACCCGAGGACTTCGCGATGATATCATCCGAGACTTTGAGGCGGTCTTCTCTTTTGAATACGCGGGATTATGGCCTTCAGCCTCAGCCCACTCATTCATCCACCAAGAGGAGTTCTCGGTCAAATCTCCCAAAAGAAGAGTTTTGGCATCCGGTTCAAAGACAGGAGCGTCATGCGCTGGCTCGGGCATTGTGGTCGGCTCCATCCTCATTCTCGGCGGATTACCATTACTTGCTGATCGGGCTGATCGAGGAGGCGGGTATGTGGTGAAAGATTCATTAAGGCAATCACAACCTTTGAAGGCAGTGGCGATGGTATTTTCCAGCCGTTTGAAAATGTGTGTCCGATTGTCTGAGCTTTGGAACTCCGGGTTCCCAGCTTGTGAGGTATCTTGCGGGTGGCAGTCTGGCTTTGGGGTTGATCGAATATCTGAATTTGCTCGAATTCTGACGGGCGTATCATTTCCCTCCCAACGAACGGAGTGTGGCGTCAAGTAACCTGAGTTCTCCTTTGGTGCCGCCAACCTTTCCCGTTCGCTGGAATGGGAAGCACTGCGGCCCCGAGAATCCCGAGTGCGAGGGGGTGCGAGATTGTTTGGACCAGAGACATGAGCCTGCATTGGCGGAAGATCAGGTAGTGGTTTGTTCTTTCTGTCCTCGTCCGACGGCGACCATGACCGAGATCCATTGTCCAAAAGACTATCGAAATACATATTGAGACACCCTCCGATCATACCACGGGTTTGATTGGCCGTCAAAGGAAACACTGTGGTAACAAATCAGCATTTCTTACAATTCTATAAAGCAAAACTAGCATTGGCGGTGTTACCTTTACTTGCCAACTTAGACGCTCCACCCTGAGACGCTTGTGGGGGGTTGTCTTTTGACTCATGAGGCATCGGCTCGAGGTCTGTGACCATCAAGCAGTCGGTGCATCTAAACACCTTCAAGTGCCGAGGCCACCGGACAGTAGCATCACAAGTCTGGCACTTGCCCTCGACGATATCATTTCCAGCTGCTGCACCTTTCCGGGGACTTGACGACTCGGGCTCCAATGGATAGGTTACCTCATCATCATCATCATCATCATCGTCAGAGTCCCAGGCCGCATGCTTGGGGGCTGTCTTGTCCCGTTTTCGCCCAAAACCAGCGAACGGATTGCTGATCGAGCGTGAATGTCCTCGGTGGTACGAATTCTTAGGCGTACTGCCGTTTAACGCGGGCATGATCGAAGCATCGCGAGGCCGAACTATGCGGCGTGGGCTGACTTCCAGTCCAGGGATTTGAGAAGGGTGTAGTTCAGGGATGACGACGTTGCCAGCAGTTGAGATCGGGGGGATAGGCGGATGACGTTCAGACCGGGACGGCATAGAGGCGCATCAATTTGATTGGGCTCTGATTTGACCAGATTCAACCTCTCCAGTATGGTATCCAGCTCGTGGAGCTTGGTCTTCGTGCCAGACACATGCGAATAGCTCGAGGAGGACGGAGTAGGGGTCAGGCAGACGAGTAAAGCGAGCTTTGCTTCTTTGTTCGGTATATGACAGGATGGTCTATTGCAAAGGTGGATATTCAGTAAGCAAGTCAAGTCTCGCCAAATAAAGAACTCTCTTGCCTTGGAATCCAATAGAACAGTGATATGGGGTTACAGCAGCATTTCATAGTCTGTGGACGGATTGGGAAAGCGGCCGGGGGATGGAAACGGTGCATGCCTCAGGCGCGCAATCTCTATTTATGGATTCACCGCCTGAAATCGCAGGCGAAAGGTCTATTTTTGTAACTAAGACAACGCACATCCTGATGATCCTTAATTAAAGACAGTATTTGGCGTATAAAATTCCCCAATTTGCAAGACATTTTAGCTTCTAGCCACAAATGGGCTAGACCACTTGCTAGCGATCCGCTAAGGCACACTACCATCTGACGGCGGTTCGCAAGTATGGCACTAAAAGACGATAACCAGTCAGATTTCACGTAAGACATACATACATCCATGGAACTAGACAAAAAGTAACACTATTCAAGTCTACAAATTCTACGGTACCAGTGGCATGGAGTTGAACCAGTCATACTTCGTTAATAGGGGAATTGAAAATAGAACAAGATGGCTTTTTGGCTAACAACAGAACCGGCTGGTCTGCATTAAAGTTGAGCCCAGCGTGGATAACACAGTCTGGGAAAGAAGTGTTTGAATAGATGACCACATGCCGTAACCAACATTTTCCAACCGAAACCACTGGGAAAGTGCACTATCGCACTTAACGGTAACGCCAGTAGCTCTGAGTGTTCTGGCGCTTCCAGGTGTGGCGGCGACCAGCCTTGGTGTTGTTGTAGCGGTGACCCTTGTTGATACCACGGGACTTCTTGCCAGTGGCGGTGAGGCCACGGGACTCGCGGTGCTAGAAAGAAAAACCTGATCAGCAAAGCTCTCGAGCATCGAAGTTGGATTTCGAGCCAAACTCACCTTGTGAACGGGGTTACAGATCCAGTTGATGCGGGCATCACGGCGGATGGCCTTGTGCTGGGGATCGACAAGGATGACCTCGTAGTACTTGTAGGTGGAGTCCTGGTTGATCCAGTAGGAGTTCAGGACGCGCAAGTTAGCAGCGCGGCGACCAACACGCTCCTCAGCGGTGGACTTGAGAGCACGCTGGTACTTGAGCTGGTTAACACCGTGGTTGGTGGGCTTGCCTGTTCACACAATCGCACATTAGCCAAAAAATCCTTCAATTCCCACAGATCTCGAAAGATCTGCTTCGCGACAGGAAAAATTCGTACCGTAGGTGGCACCCTTGGGGACAGGGCGTTTGCGGCCACCGCGGCGGACACGGGCACGGTAGATAACGTAACCCTGCTTGGCCTTGTAACCGAGACGACGGGCCTTATCGGGGCGCGAGGGGCGCGAGGCGCGGTGGATGGCGTTCAGCTGGCGGAGCTATATTATGCACTCTCAGCAAAGTTCAACGAGTGTATAGCAAGACACATGAAGCCCAGAAGGGTTTTCTTGCGTGCCACAATCATTTCCGCCGAATGACTTTTGTTCGAGCCGCCTAGCAATACCACATGAAGACGGCATATCCTAAGGCAACGCACACGAGTGCTCGGCGGAGATGTCAGGCAATCGGGGGCGAAGGGTTTTATCTCACCTCCCAGCATCGGACGCGCAGCAGGAAGCGAATCACATCGGACTGCTTCTTCTTCTGGATTTCTTCCACGTACTTGAGGGCACCCATCTGGACGGTTGTAAGTCAGAGAAATGCACTGGCGGTAGAGATTGGATTGAATGAAAAATGATGAACGTACCTTGTCGGCTGTACGAGGTCGTCGGTTGTCGTTGTCGCAAAAAGTTCGAGGAGGAAAACGTCTAGAGGCAGAGGTTGTGTGTGGGACGCTAGCGATTAGCGAGTTGACCCACCGTAGCCAATCACGGGATGAGCGAAATTAATGCCTTTAATATAAGGTGTCAATACCATTCCGCACCTCAGGCACCTCAGACTCCTTGGTCTAAGTTGGCACGCTTTCGTTCATTTTCTTACTTGGGCAATATTGAATGAAAATCAAGGCTCTTCTTTAAGGATTATGCTTTTTTTACGTTCTGCTCGTAGGTATCCACCGCATGGTTTATCTTATAGACCAATAGGCTAGAAGGGAAAAAAAGAGACATACTAAAAGCTTTTTTTCCAGATCATCAAGGACAGAAGCGTATAAGTCAACTGATTGTAATTCCATACTTGGATAAATTTGGTTAAATCTTTTGATTTTGAGATGCATCTCCAAATACTCAATCGCTATCAAAATATCGTACAAAAACATGAAGATCGTCAAGTCACCTCGCTCGGTAAATGCAACTAATAATCCTCGCTCTCTCCATGCTGGCGTGGCATTATCTTCCAAAATCGAAAATCAAAGAACTAAATGCAAGCAAAAGCAGTCTCCTTTGTTGCAATTTCATGGGCGCCTCGAAAGATTCTCTCGTTCAACCATTTCGTTGGTCACAGAAATGTAATATGATCCCGCGGGCAAAACGCTCTTCTTGCACAAAGGACAAAGACAACAGTTCTGGATCAGGAATGGATCGATACACGCTGAGTCAAATATGTGTCCGCAAGGAAGCTCGCGGACAGTAGATGATTCAGCGACAAAATCGTCGAGACAAATAGCACAAGTTGTTTGAGTATGGCTTAGGCGGTACTTGCTTCTGCAAGAATCATTTTGTCCAGGTTTTATCATCGCTGCTTCGGGTTTCTGGATGGCAGCATCATCCTGCGCATGGTTGTCTTCGTTGGGCGATAGCGAGTAGGTCTTGTCGCCAGAATCATGCTCGATTGGATTCGCTGATGTACCATCTTGTGGAAGCGTTGCTTCTGTTGGAGATTTGACCCCCAAGTATGTATAAAGTGGCATTTTGCTAACCAATTCTTGAGGAGCCGTCATTTGGTTCAATACCAAGGCTTCGATGTCGACTTGACCTGCATCAACACGTCTCTGGAGCTGAACCCGTCTCTTGCGCAAGACAAGTCGATAAATAACGATTACAATGATACTGAGTATGAGAACTGTTCCTGCAATTGCAAGTACGAAACTCCAGACACTTGTCGACGAAGTTGCGGTTTCTTCACCTACGATATGTGAGCATATATTTCGATAGTGACGCATTTTTGTGACCTACCAGTTTCAATCCTAGCAAACAATCGGTTCGTCTTAGTCTGTAGTGCAAAATTTTCGGTCGAGTTGTCTCTCTTGTCGTCGGGTGTTTCGTTAGAATACCACGTGAGATCATTGATCAATGAGATTCCAGCTGGGCCTGGAATGGCATACACTGGGTAATTGTTGTCTGTTCTCCATTTATCTCCATCGTTGATTGCCCACCGAGAGTCGTTCGAGTCAGGTGGTATGCTGGTGTCGTTATCTGATGGTTGGAAAAAGATCATGGCATGCGTGCCGACCTTTTGGGCGGCAGTGAGAAATGATAGCGAACACTCGGCGGTTACCCATGGAGCAAGGCCAACGAGGGAGTATCCGAAGTCTGACACATCTTCATAGCGGGTCACATTTAACGGCACAGATGAAGCGGTAATGTCATAGCAAGGATCATTCGGCTCTAGATTGGGTACAAACAAGAGGCCTGATACCAATCCGTCCTTGGGAATGCTGTTGCTCGATATCGTTTGGACCTTGCGGTCAAGAACAAACCGATAGGCAACATTCTCCTATTCAATTATGTGAGTTAGTTTCAGCCCCAGAGGCTTATGTAAATTTTGAGTGAATAAGGCATGCTTACTTCGACTGACGAGGTGGAATTTGAAGCTTGCCCTTCACCTGCCCAAAGTGTAGCTGTTCTACCCACGGCGTCATTTCGCGTAGATACAGTAGCATCTGACATGATGCTTGATATTGGTTCAAGTGAATAGTGAAGAGGAATGGCAAGTAACGGATAAACTAGAGGCTAAATGGTTGAGACCAGTGAGGAAGGCGTGTGCATGGAGGAAACAAGTTGAAATTTGAATATGAAAGAGTTCGAACATAGCAACCACTACGGTTTTAGGTAAATTCATTTGAGACGACACTCAGCCCTGAAGCATCCCATACATCCCCATTGCTAATTAGAGCTCTACAATGGAAGAATGCGAGAGTCAATCGGGACCGTCACTGGAATGTAGAATAAGCCTGGTTCCAACCACGAGGCAAGAGGCAAAACGTTTTGGCTCAAATACACTAAGTTTCACATTTCGAAGAAATCTCCGTGAACGAGTAAACAAATAAAATTGGCCGAGCGCGTGGTCTACATCGTATACTTCGCTAAACATGGCCGTTCGCGGTAGACCGTTTATGGAGATGATCATCAACAGACAACTCTTTAAGCTTTTACACTTGCCATTTGAATTTAGTTTGCGAGATTGTATTATAAATAGTAGTGCTTCAACGCTTGCAATTCATAGATGACTTCGCTTACTCTCATAATTCCTCATCCCTTTGAATGTGTTCGGAGTAGCCGACATCGAGGTTCTATCCGGGAAACTGTAGGAATGTGTGTCAACTTTCAACCTTAACCACATTTTTGGGCGCTAGGCCATGTGTGAACCTTCAACTGGTGAGGCGCAAGCCCATACAGTGCGTTATAGAATGCAAATAGTTGAATCATCTGCAAACCATGTGCTCACTGCCGAGTGCTCAGCCAATGAATCGAATGGGGTGCACGTGATGATAGGCGTCGTATCGCCATCACGTGCGTATACTCTGGCCGACCGCCAGCGACCGCCAACCATTCATCACCTCTAGAAAGTCATAATTCATCGTGATCGAGAAGATCGCTTGCTCTGTATCTGCTTTGGCTCATGATCAGACAACTTTGGGGGATATTCAACTTCCTTTTATTCTTCTTCACTCGCAGTGACGAATGACAGCATGTGTCTGTCTAGTCCCATTCACACCTCTTAGGATCCTTTCTATCGACCAATCTCTCTTTTCATTGATACTGTCCTTGATATCTTAATCATTTCATCCCTTCGTTTTCCTTCGTCCGAGCATCAGTCTGAAGAAACACCATGCCGCCCGCATACAAAGGCAAGGGTAAAGGCCGCGATGCGCGCCAGTCGCGTAGCCGCAATACCACCCCGTCCAGCGCTAGTGCTCCCACTATCCCAGCACTGCCCATCCAAAGCTACCTGGAAAATGATGTCACCAAGCACATTGACTTGGCTAGTGTGCAGTATTCCGATGTGTTGGACCTGGTATCCGCGCAGAACATTCCAGATTCAAAAACACTGGAGACGTTGGTGGAGCACCTGAAGGGTCTTAGTGACATGGCCGATCTTCGTGGCGAGGTTTGCAATGCGGGAATGCGCGAGATGTCTCAAAAGCGCAAGGAAGTGGAGGATCAGGAGCTTGATCGTGAAGTTCGAGATCGCTCCAAGTTGAAACGTGAAACCGAAGAGGATGACGATATTCATAAGGGCGGGAAGCTGAAGAAGCGGAAAGAGCGCCCAAGTGGAAAGGAAGATCGGCCATTAAGTCATGGTGCACATGAGGTTGCGCGCCAGGATGGAGCTGAGACTAAGGTTGAGGGAGGTAAGAGATCCAACTCGGCGCTTTCTTCCCACTCTTTGTTTTTACCGACCCATCTCCACAACTCTGATCTTCTTTCACTTTCCCCACTGTTTAACTTTCTCTAACCATCAACAGCGGCTTCTCCAACATCGAAAAACTCCAAGAATGCCATATCGGATGAAAGCTCCTCGCTTTCACCTCCATCGATGATGTCCCCCAATGGCACGACCACTGCTGGCGAAGGCCCTCCCCCCGGGACCCCCGGGTCTGAAACCAGTGCCGATTCCCATCAACCTGAACCACAACCTGCGATTCCTCAAGTGCAAGTCTTTGGCGATAACCCGCTGAAGTTCGACGACCCGACCATTTACAACATTCGAGATGTTCTCCCAGGCATGACGGACGATGAGAGGAAAGAGATTTACAGCGTTGCCCACTTCCCAAAGACCGATCTAGCCCACATGGCAGCTGGTGTGGCTCCTGACAAGGACTTCAGCAACGCCAAACCTTCCAACCAAGTCAGCGCGAATACTTTCCAGACTTACATTGAACCTTACGTCCGGCCTCTTACCGAGGAGGACATTGCCTGGTTAAAAGAAAGAGTAGGTCAATTACGGCTTAATTTTATATCAACGCAAGCTAACCTGTCACAGGGTGATCGCACTACTCCATTCATCATGCCCCGTCGCGGAAAGAAAAACTATCGTCAAATCTGGGCGGAGGAGGATGGAGTGTCATATGATTCGAGTCAAGATGACAAGGACCAGCTGCCTTTGAATCAAGGCCGTGGCAGCATTGAACAGCTGACTGACGATAAAGCCGAAACCAACGAAGTCTCGGTTGGACCTCTCCTCAGCCGACTCTGCTCTCTCCTCCGTTACGAGCACCGTACCTTTCCCGAAGATTCCAACCCAACCGCAAATGGGGATACCGCTAGTGTGACTGGACTGGGTGGAGATGCAATGGACATCGATCAACCCACTGAGGAGAAGGAGAACAAGAGCGAAACAAAGCCCCTCCCTGCTGCAACTACCTTCCGCGACGCAGATCCAAACGACTTCAAAACCTCGGTCGCGAAGCTGGACCATGCCCAACTTGATGAACGCGCCAAAGCCGAACTGCGATTCATCGGTTTCCTCGGTGCAGATGATAATCCAGACTACGACGCTCACTACGATGATGAAGTTGCTGAGCGACTCCGCCTCCTCCAAAGCGAACTCAAGAAGCAAATCGTTACCAACAACGCGCGCAAAGCTCGCATTCTGAAAATTGCCCAGGAGCACATGGCCATGCTTGAGTTTACTACCATCCAAGACGACCTCGACTCTCAGGTCCAACAGGCATATCTCAAGCGCACCCGCACAATGGGCAAGAGCAAGAAGGGCGCTCAGCCCAAGCACAGACCTGGCGGCGCAGGTGGCGGCAGCCATGTCGCTGGTTCTGCGGGCGTTTCCCGTCCTGCTGTGGGAGATGCTGCCAAGATTGTCATGGACCGTCGTCGCCGCTGGAACGAGGCATTCCTGCCTATCTTTGACGATATCAAGACTACCATTCCCTCTGAAGGAGAGACGATCTTCGACCCGGAAGTTATGGCTGAGTATGAGAAAGCCGAGCTTGAGAACTGGGACGAAGAATAAATGCTCCACCCTCTCCAGTCTATTATGGGTTTTATCACTCGACGACTCGTCTTCTGCCCTTTGGCTGTTTTTACCACCTCTACCTTGTTTTGATTTATTTCCCGCACGATACGATACGAATGCATGATGGATTGGCGTTGCGTTAGCGGATACCTCTTTTTTTTCCTCTTCCACCACATCGAATATTGAACCCCGTGGCTACCTATGTTGCAGTCCGCCTGAAGATACACACAGGATATTTTCCACATGTATCTATCTAGTTAGATGTGACTATGTCAGTGTATTCTTATTCTTAAGCTATAAGCTTTCAATGAAACCAAATTCTCCAATCTTCAAATTTCCAGTAGTATCCGGAACTCCTGATATATATATCCGATCCCACCAACCCCAAAATGATAAAAAGTAGGGTATCCATCAATTCTAGCAATCCAAAAAGAGAAATAAAAAAAAAACTAACAATATCATCTATGAAGAATCAATACCTCCCAAGGATACCTCTTAAGTCTAGCCGTCAACTCCCTCTCACTCATCTGCAACTCCGTACAAATCTGATCAAAGCAATGCGTACCATCAAGATACTTCCCAAGAACCTCATCCCCAACAACCTCATCTTCCTCTTCCCAAAACGCCGACGGTGCCCCTGTACTCCCATTCCCATTCCCACTCCGACCCCCACTAACCACCGACCCAGCCCGCTCCCGACTAGACTCCCTCCTCGCAGCCGCCGAGATAGGCGCGTCCTCCGTCACACTCGAGGCCGTATAGGGCGTATTATTACCCGTAGTAGCGCGCGACGACAACGCCGTCGGCGTGAACGATGAGGGGCGTGGCGGGGGCGCAGGCTGGCTCGTTGCGCATGCATATTTATGCACGCGGTACAAGAAGCCCTTTATCACGCCGAAGGTGATGAAGCGACGGATGTCGATGTTTGCTAGGGAGCGGCTGTGCGCTGCGTACCATTGCTTGACGCTCTGGCCTTGTTTCAGGCTTGCGTAGAGCTCAACCAGCGCGGCGCCGTCGACAATTGCGGGTTTGTGGAGTGTGTTTGTTGATGTTGGGGAGGTGGAGGAGGGGGTTTCTTCGGTGCCGAGTAGGGGCCAGATTTCCTCGGCGTCGAAGCGGGATTCCTCGCGTACAAGGCTTGGTGTTGGGTCTGTGAGGGAGCTGGAGAGGTGGGCTGTTCCGGTGCTGTCGTTTGTGCTGCCGTTGGCGCTTGGGGTTGGGATTAGGGTTGGGGGAAGAGGGGAGGAGGGTCCGGTTGCTGGGTGTGGTGCGAAGCGGAGGTTTACGTAGCGGGCACATTCTAGTTGCATTGCTTCGTCAGAGCCTATTGTTGGGCTGAATTGGGCGGTTGGGGCGTAAATCGCGGAGAAGGAAAAGATGTCGAGGATAAATAGGCAGCCGTAGTAGAGGAGGTGTCGGAGGGCGCGGCAGGTGAGAGAGAAGTCTGTGTCAGCTAGGACGGAGATGATGCGGACGCTATTGACGCCGTTGATATGTGGTACGATCTGGCTAGGTTTAGTTGTTGTGTTTTCTAGCCAACGGGACAGGGTCGTCTTTCACATACCCTTTGCATGGTCAAGTCCCAGTTCTCATCCATGAAGGCCTGGTATCGCAATGTGAAGAGCGGCACTTGCCAGGCCTTGACGGCCGGGGGAGATGGATATATCGGGAAAAGCTTGATGTTCAGAGTGTTTAATTCGTCTAGATGTAATAGTTAGTAGCGGAATCATACTAGACAGGTTCATTGACATACCGATGGGAATCATGCACTCGCAATAATTGTTCAAGTCCTCCATCAACATCTCACAAAGACTATGCACCTTCCCTTCGCCACCCTTCGAGAAATCGCGAGACAAGAAACCATTCTGCTCTTCCAGACCATGCATTAGGTCTGCTAGCTTCTGCACCACGCTCTTATACGTGCTGAAGTCGTCCTCCTCGGCAAGGACTATGCAGAAGTTGAAGATAAATTCATTTCGGTCATACCGCACTGACTTCATGCAGATTGGGTAGCCCAGGATACGATATCCGTTTGTGCAGACTTGCAAAAGGTTTCCACAGAGCTCTTGGCGGGGGATCACGAAGAAGGAGACATCGGAGAAGGTGAGGAAGGGTGGTTGTGAGGGCGCGGTGGGGGAGGGTACGATGGCTCCGTCGGGAACTTGGTGGACGACTTTGGGTCCTGTATAATAGTGCATAGTCAGTATATAGGCAATTGAAGGTTTATCAGCGTCTTGAAGGTCCTTACCCTCTATCGTGTCGAATTTACTGTAGAATATTGCCTTGATCATGGTGGAGATGCTGTATGGTAGGGAGGAATGCTTGATAACCAAACTAAGTATGAAGCAGTGCAGTCTATCGGCCAAATTCAATCAGATACAGAGCTGAAACGAGGTTCATGTTCATGGCATGGAGATCAGTTGCGGAGCGGACCTCGGAGCGGAGAGCTTATCGAAATCAATATTTCCCAGGTTATTCCAAATTAGGTTAGACTATATGCGTCTTGTTTGCTTGATTGGCCGAACCTGGTTGATGTTTAAATCACGTGATATATGCTCGAGCTATCCCCGCACTTTGTTTACCAACTTACTTACCCTCATTCAGTAACAGCTTCAGGGTACCTCACATATGTTGTATGTCTCGTTTTTCCTATGCAATGGTATACTGCTTCTTACTTTTTACGCAATGGTCTTTAATCGGCAAGTATCTCCCACTCTCCCTCCAAACAATAGCTATGAGATAAGATTGGGACATACCAAAGTGCCCGAGATCAAATCAACAAGAAAGGAAAGAACAACCCCTCCGTTTTAGTATTTGATCAAAGAGACCATGTCTTCCACTACCACAATAGATGGAGGATGCAATACACCCATAAGCGGCAGTGTTTTGCCATGGATCAATGAAGGGTTTGTCCTTGAGTGACTCAATTGCGATGCACTCCAAGAACTGTCCTTAGAAAGGTAGATCATTCGTTATTCACAATCCTCATACGAAACTTGTGATTGGGCTTCAAAAAGGTGATTTACACCCTGTCCCTGAATGCAGTGGGCATGGGTTTCAAAATGTGGTCTCTGGCACCTTTATCGGGCATAAGAGCAACGGTGTTCTATCCAGCGCTATATTCAGTGCGCAGGATAGCTGCACGGGGAATCATAATCGTTTTGTCTGCGCGCACATCCAGACGGCTGCTATGTCCTCATGAAACAGGCATGTGGGTTCTTGCCGGTGCAAACATGCATGGACAGATGGTTCACAGTCGGCACTAACAAAGATGAGGGCGTAGCATGGGGGATTATTCGGGTCAAGGATGAACATGCTATTTGATTTTAACTCTTTTTTGTTCCAATCATTGCTCAATACAACCACAATGAAGACCCAGTCTGTATCTTGAGCTCTACTGTACTCATCTGTCAGACGATCATGGGACCAAGTGATATTTCATAGATATATTTCTGAGAAAGCTAGAATAACTTTTGCCGTTTGCTGAAAATCCTCCGATTACCACGTTGAATATGAATATACCCGGCAAAGCAAAAAAAAAAAAAAAGCTAACGAGTCAAACAACAAAGCAAGGTGAGGAACAGGAGCATGAGGGTATTAGAGAAAATGAGATAGAAGACAATGAAATCTACGCGTAAGCAACAGACTCTTCTGGAGGCGTAAGTAGAGCAATGGATATAGATAAATAAAAGCAAGGGGAACCCCGAGAAGAAGGAGCCAGTCCACTTCAGACAATGCGAGAGAGGTAAGATGCGCCGTAAAAAATGCAAACAGGAATCATAGCGGGGCCCTGATCAAAGGGTCTGATCGAGTAAATAGCATGCAGTCATTGAGCCGTTCCAGAGGCATGACTGGAGGATGGGAGAGTAGTGTTTGTTGTGATAATGCTGTCTGGCACTGTGAACAAGGTCGCCCTTGTCACCACACGAGCCGCACCGCGACCGCGTGGGAGTCGGACATTGTCAGCGACAAGAGTCAAGGGCTGATTCGCACGAATGGCATGCACCATCTCGCCGAAACTGCCACGCTCTCCAGCCTCCTTCAACCATTGTTCCCAGTCTTCATCCAGCGGCACATCAGTGCCCTGATCGCGAGCGGCCATCGCAGCAAGGATACGGTTGTTGAGAGCTACTCCACAACTTTCCATTTCCTCGTCGCTGAGTTCGTCTTCAATTTCGTGCTCCTCCTCGGCGGACCGGTAACTGGAGGCACGGGAATCGACAGCACGGACTGTATCATTGCTCTGTGTCTCGATGATCTGGTCATCCTCCTCTTCTGTCCCGCAGAAGTCGCAGTCGTTGAAGTGGATCTCGATCGAAGGCGCGGGTTGCGGGGATGCCGGTCGGACGGAGTGGGCTGTGGTATCCCGCACGATAATCCCTTCTTCTGCCTCGTACCGCTGACGCGCGGACTTGGTCCCTTCCCACCGACACAGATTGGAGATCTCCATCTCTGTCAGACCGAGTTCGTCAAATGTTTTGAATAGCTTTCGGTGCCATGGGAAGCGACTCAGTCGCATGCGATGCGGTCCATACGAGTAATCCAGCCCCGGGTATTGTGCTTCGATGCAGTCTAGCGAGCCGTAGAAAAGGGATGTTTCGACACGTACTTCTGGGACGAGGTTTCGGGTAATGTGAGCACCAAATGAGCCTGGGTCGTTTGTGCGAGGTCGTGGGAACGTGGCGTTATACACGATCTGGCCCACGGACGGTTTACGCATGGTGAGGTTCGGATGTGGAAGGAGTTAGGAGAGGAATGAGGAATTTAAGGAGACAAGGTTGTCCCAGACACCTTGGAATGTGATGATTCAGGATTTCCGGCCCTGAAGGGTTCCCCCTTGCCCTTTGTCAAATTCCCGGACGTTTGGAACGTTTTGGGTGTGTTTTGAGGGTGGGAGTGCTTCAGCCGTTGACAGTAGGGGGGTCACGCTAGAGAAAGCGCGTAACAGTATATCCTCAAGAATATAACAGAAATGATTCTCAACCTGGATATCTCGCAATCCAGGTCAATGGATATAATAATTAAGGAAAATTCCGATCAGGTGGCCCAGCTGACGTTTCGGCTCTTTGACCCTTGAGGAATTGAAGGTCTCACAGGCGTTCCCATTGACAATTAGAAGGAAGAAAAGAAGGAAAATGGAACGAAAGAAAAAGAAGAAGAAAAACAGAATAGATTGGGAAGAAATAGGGCTTACATGAGTTTATAGTTAACTAGTCATTACTCCATAGTGTGCGTTGGCATGGTATGGCCACGATGCACGGCCAGCTGTTAAAGGCGTAGACACATTCCTTTTGGGCTTGTCCAGGTGGATGCATATTTACATGTGGGTAAATATGGTCGAATCATAATGCTCTGAATTATGTAGAAAGATTCGACAGGTTTAGAGACATTCTGACATGTTCGCATGTTCATGTTTTATTGTCCTCTGGGGTTTTTATCTCATCACGTGCAAGTAACAGAGTACAGCCCAGCACATCTTCACCTGGGCAACTTTGGAACCTTGGGAATCCTGGTGCAGATCTGACCTCAGCTTCTAGATGTTACCATGTCGACCTTCGATGGAATCGTAGAAGGTGAGACCGACATTTCCCACGTCACTTCCGTACTAATCATGCGATACAGAGTTTCCCGACATTCGCAGTAAGTCTCACCTATGAGATCAGCCAAACTAAAAACTAAGAAAAGCAGTTGACTACTTCCGGAAATGCCCAGAACGGCCGGCGCCACTAGCTTGCTTCCTTAGCCATGTGCATAGCGATCATTTACAGGGTCTCGAGTCCTTTCGGGCACCGTTTATCTATTGCTCGCCGGCTACGCGAGAGGTATGCTCTTGTTCATGCCATTGAAATTCTATTGAAAGTCATTAAACTGACCATGTGCAGCTGCTTCTCCGGATTGAAAAATATCCCCACCGGATGAACTTTAATAAAGGCATCTTGGAGTCACGCAGATTGCACTATAAGCATCTTGCAAAGCTTCTGGTTAGTATCGGGTGCTAAACGTTGACTAGAACTGAGAGCTCATTCCGCACAGCGTCCGATTCCACTGAACACCCCAACGGAAATTGAACTCACACCCCGACGTCATGTCAAGGTGACATTGTTCGATGCCAACCATTGCACCGGAGCTGTGATGTTTCTAATTGAAGGGGGCGGGAAGACAATCATTTACACAGGTGACATCCGAGGTGAGTCGATAATCTCTCTTTTTCATTGGAATGTTGGCTGATCACCTTCAGCCGAGACATGGTGGGTGAGCAGCTTGGTCCGCCACCCGGTCTTGATACCATATACTCTGGGTCAGAAACGGCTGGATAAGTTGTATCTGGACTCTACCTTTGCAAGCAAGACAAATCCATTCCGCGAGTTTCCTTCCAAAGCCGAGGGACTGTCTGAACTGTTGCAGAAAGTCCAGGCTTATCCGAACGATACAGTCTTCTACTTTCGTGCGTGGACGTTCGGCTATGAGGATGTCTGGATAGCGCTCTCGGCTGCGCTAAACACAAAGGTAACTAATATCACGCACATCAGATATAACACTGGCTAATCAAACATAGATCCATGTAGATCGTTACCAGATGGGACTTTATCGGTCTCTGGCCCAGATTCCAGGTAATAAGGGGGTTAGTGAAGCTCCTGTCCTCTGTGGCTTTGAGCTGGGAAACAGAGCTGTAACAGGCTGCCTAAGCAGCAACGAATCAAGTCGAATTCACAGCTGTGAGCCTGGAGTATCATGTCCGGCAGCTCGCGGCGCTAATGTAATCTACATTGTGCCTATTGTGAATCGCACAACCAGTGGAGCGGAAATTCCCGAGGTCGGTGCGGGCGGTGGTATTGGGGATCTGTACCAAACACATGAACTCGAACTGCCAGACGAATTTGCATTGGCCGAGTTAGAGAAGTTGTGTCTCAAACACGTCCAGGACAAAGAAGCCCTTTCTCAGATACGGAATTCGCTCACGGATGCCTTCCGGTCAAGAAAGAAAGCACTATCGCTTGATACATACGGTGTGAAGGAGGAGGGCGAAATTTCGTTGAAAAACCTAGTGACTGCTCTAAGCCATGGTCCATCCGATATCTCCAGCTTGTCATCCCAGCCAGATCTGCCCAATACGATTGTAAGTGGAATTACTGTTTTCTTTCGATCATCCTCTCTAATGGCATTATAGCGATTCCCATATTCACGACACTCTTCTTACTCCGAACTATGTGAGCTGGTAGCTGCCTTCCGGCCCAAGGACATCCATCCATGCACCGTGGATCCAACGACCTGGAACGAAGACGTCTCCATCAGACGTCTGTTCGGCCACCTCTGTTCAGGAACTGACTTTTCGCACGACACTTACATGCAGCAGACTTTAGCTAACGATATTGACGACGAGGGAGATTTGCGCGCAAGAAAAAGGGCCCGATACGACATGAGCCTCTCCACACAGTCCACACAAGAAACCAGTAATGACATTGAAGATTTTAGTCTGGGTACCGCCGATGCAAGCCAGCATCATGATCAGAAGCAATACTCTCTACATAATTTGAGTCAATCTGAAGAGGCAGCCAGAGTTAAACGCAACGAAATCCGTCTAGCACACCGCTATCTTCAAGAGCATGCAGAGCCTAGGCTCTTTCAAGTCAATCCTCTCCCATCTACATGGCCGACAGAAAAAGAAGACAAGTTCGATCTGGCCAGTGGCGAGGGAAGTGAAGAAGAGGATACGCTCACACCCGACCAGCCGGATTTAGAACCTTCGGCTACAGGACTCCGACTTAGGTCCGAACCAAGCACATCCACAAGAATCATTGACCTAACTGGTGATGGTACTACATCTCCTCGTCCAATAACCCAACAAACAGACAGTCAACACACAGACGTATTTTCTCTCTCTATCTCTGAGTCGGCATTTGACTCTCCGGGCCAAAATTCCGTTGAAAATGGGCTACCGGACCCAGCGCGAAGAGAAGAAGCTCTGAATAGATCACGCCGTGCACGTGTCGCTGCTTACTTAGCTGCGCGCGAAGGTACTTTCACTGCATGGGCCGATGTGTCGCTTGTTTCGACGGATAATCATGGCGAGGAGGAGATTGAGCTGTAGGCTTGATGTTTTTTTTTTCTTGTTTTTTTTTTCCATATTGGTAGGCGGATAGATCTGCTTCTCTTCTTTTTTCTACCTTCTTCAATATTACTGTGTATGATACCCCTTTTTACTATCTTGTTATCGATCTTGTCATCTGGTGTTTCGCCGATAGAACTATGTCTGGTCCACTATTGAAGGCCCTAGTTGGCCGAAAGTTGGCCGAAACTAGATCACATCGTCAAGACAAGCCCTGAAACTTAGAGGGTAAACCATCGATATAAGTGATCTGATAATAGAAGATAAAGAACGAAACAAAGGCCTCGCAACGCTAAAATTATAACAAAGCCTCAGTGGATTTACCTTGGAACTACCTTCGCCCTTGTATACTAACTGCTTTCAATGTCATGGTAGCTTGCAAATATCAAAAAACAAAGAGAGCAAAGACTCCCAACAATAACTCATATCTCTTTCATTCTTTTCTTCTTGACGAATACTTTGTATCCAGTCTGATCAACCCAGTACGACACAAATGCATAAATAGGCACCGATTCCTGGACCGTTCGAGGTATCATCCGCTTCACAGTTCTTCTTCCATCAGTACAACCAGCTTAGCTTCACAGCTACTCCACTAACCCTAACCAGGTAAGCGATACATCTCTATCATCTCCTCATCTCTCCCTTCTACCACCACAGCCCACCACGATGCCTGAGTCTATCGCCAGCCGACTCTTCCGCGGTACTCGCGCCATCCTCAAGTACCGTAAGGAGCGCGGTATCCTGGTGAACAACATCCGCGCCTACATCTCCATTTTGCGCCAGATGCCCGAGGGCAACTATCTTATCGAAGTCGCCCTCAACGTCCAGTCCCTGAAGATCCAGGCCGACAAGGTGAAGTGGGCTTCCCAGGCTCTTGCTATCGACGCCGCCGACATGGTCTTTGTCACTACCCATGGTATCGAGCACTTCGCCCACACTGTCCCCCATCTCTGCGACGAGATCGGTCGTGAGACTCGCCAGATGGCTGAGACTCTCCATGACCATATCCACAAGCCTGTTGTCAACACTGAGCACCAGGTCGCACTTGAGCTGGAGCATGCACTTGCTAACATGGGATACGTCTAGATCAGTATTTTTACACTGAGTCGCGGACTCTTGCCGGGATCAGCTGTAGCTATAGCTGTAGCTGTATATCAGTTCCAGCATCCAGGTACGTCCCAATACATTCATTCACATTTAATATTCCAATCTCCATCTAGATCTATAACCCCCACAATCCACATTCACTTTATACATTTCTCCATGGCCCATATAAACCAATCCACCGTTACCAACTTCCGCAGAGCCCGCGACGACCTCGTAACCCTGCTCGAGCAACAATCAACCTTCCTTCGGCTCGACATCAACAGCCGCACCTAATTGATTCCAAACCTGCGCCTACAGCTAATCCAGCACCTCAACATCGTCGCCTCACTCTCGATGAATATGGCCGTCGACAGCCGTCACCACCCCTACGTCCTAGTCCACCAGAACGATTCCTATGTGTCCATTGTTCCTATGCACTGCGCCGCGCTGAAGAGCCAGTGTGCTCATCTTGCGGATCGACTCCGCGATAACCTTGGCACTGATGCTCTTGTTGCTGTGGCGAAATTGATTGATCAGATTGTGGCTAACTCGTGCTTTTAGATAGATTTGGAATTGGATTGTTCATTACTGGTTTAGTATCATTATTCTGGGTTAACGTATACATTACTTCCGACGTACCACGTACCACGTATCCTTTCCTCTGGCGTTATGCCTACTATGCCTCCCCGGCCCGGCCCAGTATCGAAATTTAAACACGAGCGCGCGACTTTCGTCTTCGATTTGGAGATGCAGGCGAGGATTCTGAGGTCTGATCCCCAGGCTGGTGGGGATGTTGCTGAGAATCTACATGATCTTGTTGGTAGTGTTCATCGGCTTAAGGATGCCTCTATGGCTATGGCTGTTGGTGCTCGTGGCAATGCATATGTCCTAGCGAAACCGTACGGATTTTATAGCTATAACGTGCCGCGTATGTGCAATGATATCGTTGCATCTTTGTTGCACTGGGCGGATATTCTTGTTAATACTGATGGGCGGAGGACGGATGGGATTGTTGTTGATTCTATTGAGGGGATGTTAGTTTCTCTCGGGGTTTGAGAAAAGAAAATAGAAAGAAAGACGGCTTTACCTATTGACTTATATGTGCATCGTTTAGGGAAGTAGAAGAGGTAAGAAAAGTAAAGGGATATAGAATTCCTATATCACGTAAAAACCAACTCGAAAGAGCAACGAGGTATATAGGAACTGTAAAGACCAAAATCAAAAGCTAAGGGTATGCAAGAACAAAAGCCACCAAACAACTCAGAAGATATAGTACGCCTGCGTCAAAGGCAACTCTGAAGCCGGTTCCGCATCACAAAGCATCTCATCCGCCTCGACAGTGTAACTCTCCGGATCAACCTTCATCTTCGGCATAACATCATTAAACTTCATATCCTTCTTCCCAACAGAACGACAATCTCTCACAGCCTCAATCCGCTTCTTCAATCCATACGTCTGCACAACGCCCGCATCAATAGAAGCCTGCGAAACAAACATTATGGACGTAGCCGGGACGCGCGCAGCGAACATCGGCCGTGTGATCATTGGCTCGACAGTTGGGATTGACGCATTCGGATCTCCAACTTCCGCTATAACAATCATTCCGCTCTTCAGGACAGATACGGGTTTCGTGCCGAATGTCGCCGCCTTCCACATTACCAGATCGGCGACCTTGCCCACCTCCACAGATCCGATGACGTGTGACATTCCCTGTGCGAGAGCGGGGTTGATCGTGTACTTGCTGATGTATCGCTTTACGCGGAAATTGTCTGCGCCGCTGTCGGCGTCGGTGCCAAGAGGTCCGCGCTGTGTCTTGTTCTTGTGGGCTGTGTGCCAGGTGCGGAGGATGACTTCGCCGCAGCGGCCCATTGCTTGTGAGTCCGAGGACATCATGCTGATGGCGCCGAGGTCGTGGAGGACGTCTTCGGCGGCGATGGTTTCGGCGCGGATGCGGCTTTCCGCGAAGGCTACGTCCTCCGGGATGTTCTTGGATAGGTGGTGGCAGACCATTAGCATGTCGAGGTGTTCGTCAAGGGTGTTGAGGGTGAAGGGACGGGTTGGGTTTGTGCTACTGGGGAGGACGTTGGGGTGTTCGACGACGGAGATGATGTCTGGGGCGTGGCCGCCGCCTGCGCCTTCGGTGTGGTAGGTGTGAATTGTGCGGCCTTTGAAGGCTCCAATGGACTGCTCGACGAAACCGGATTCGTTCAGTGTGTCTGTGTGGATCATGCACTGCACGTCGTATTCATCACAAACTTCGAGACAGTTGTCGATTGCTGCCGGGGTGGAGCCCCAGTCTTCGTGGAGCTTCAGACCTGCTGCGCCTGCTAGGATCTGCTCTCTGAGACTCTTCTTTCCGCAGTCGTTGCCCTTACCCGTGATTCCGAGGTTGATCGGTAAGCTGTCGCATGCTTGCATCATCTGGCGCAGGAGGTTCGGCGACGGTGTACATGTCGTCGCGTTTGATCCAGTGCTGGGGCCGGTACCGCCGCCGAGGAAAGTGGTGATTCCCGAGGCCAGAGCTTCATCCACCTGTTGCGGGCAGATCAAGTGGATGTGAGTGTCGATACCACCAGCGGTCACAATCTTGTTCTCTCCAGCAATGACATCCGTAGACGAGCCCACCACCAGATCAGGATGCACGCCGTCCATGACATCTGGATTTCCAGCCTTGCCAATACCAGCAATAAGTCCATCCTTGATACCAATATCTGCCTTGTAGATACCAGTCCAATCGATAATCAACGCATTCGTGATAACAGTATCAACACACTCAGTAGAAGACCGGTCAGACGCCTGTCCCATTCCCTCGCGCAGCGTCTTTCCTCCACCAAAGGCACACTCATCGCCATAATTCGTCATGTCCTTCTCAACCTTAATCCACAAATCTGTCAACCCAAGCCGCACCAGATCTCCCGTCGTAGGACCAAACATGCGCGAGTACGCCTCGCGCTCCATCGAGAACCCAGAAAGAAGCGCACTATCCGCCTGCGGCTCCGGCACATGCGCGAATCCAGCTACCTGCAGCTTGGACATGATCTCATCGGCACGACTCATATCCACCGGCCCATTCGCCAGCCAATTTCCACCACGGATGATGCGATTTCCACCGATCTCGACAAGCGTGACCGTCTTCGTATCACCGGGCTCGAATCTGATCGATGTTCCCGCGGGGATATCCAGTCGGAAACCGTACGACTGCAAGCGATCGAAGTGCAGCTGCGGGTTCGTCTCGATGAAATGGTAATGCGATCCGACCTAGCAATCAACACTGTAATTAGCACCACTCCTTCTCGATCTTTTTTCTTTTCCCCTTTCCGCTCCGGGTATCAAGTACGATGTACACACCTGAATTGGCCGATCTCCTTTACTCATAACCTTAAGCCTAATCCGCCTCTTCCCAACACTCAATTCCACGCGCGCATGTTTGGCAGGAATAACCGCGCCGGGCATCTTCTCAGGCATGAAATCCTGCGGGTCCGGGTCTGGGAACGCCTCGGGCGCGGGGACAGGCAGGAAACTTCCATACAGGGCGCGCTCGAGATCGCCCTCGTCGCTACTGATCGGGTGGTGCACTGTTACCAAGTAGGTGCCGGAAATGAAAGTTCCCTCGACTTGTAGCTCGACGAGGGTTGCTAGTACGGAGGGGAGGACGTGGCGGCGACCGAGCATTGTTTTGCCGATGGACATAAGATCGGCAACGGAGTAGTGGCCATCGCGGATTAACTGCGGGGGTTTTGGTGTTAGTTTGCGCCGTTGGATCAATTGGGTATATGGTTTATCGTATATCGTATGTTTCGGTGCCATTGTCGGGGATTGGATGGGGGTTATCGTACCTCGTGTAGCACTGAGGCTATCAGGGCCTATTGGGGGATGTGTTAGTGGTCGTGTCCTACACCTGTAGAATGTATACATACCACAGCTTCTGCATGGTTGAGCCGCACTCCACGTGCTAAGCGACGCTGTGCCAAGAAGCCTAGGTGGGCGATGGTAAGCTTGTCAAGCTGCAGGGGTGTTAGTAGTGTTGGTGTCTCGGGCAATGTATGTGCGACTTACCTCCTTCGGAATAAGCTGCATGGTTCATGTGGAACCTGAACCTGGCAGTTCTTGGCGTGCAGGATTATTGGTTTTGGAAGCAGTTTGAAGCGGTTTTGAAGCGACTTTGAATCTCAAAGTAAGTGAAGGTGTAGAAGATACAATTCGAGGAGATTCCCAAAGAAAATCAAAAGGTCGAGGAATGTGGGGATGCGGTCCATTTCAAATGTGCTTGCTCCTCTGATAAGGTCATTGACGATGATAAGTGCCCGCAGAGGCCGATTGGGTCGGGGGACAGAGTTCGGCGGCATTAGTCAAGGGTTTGTGAAATTGATAATGCACTTGGGTTTAGCCTAAAACTGTCTGTAGTGTGTTTTAATTTTGTTCTATTCTTGATTTTTATGTTATAGCATGTTGTATAGCTCTGGTGGAAAAGTAAGGTTGGGCCCGACTATGCAATATAGAGTGGTAACTATACAGCCCTAACCTGGCCATGGGTACTGAGACTCATGATATCTAGAAACCACATCCCATGATCAGTCCAATTCACTAATTCAAGCTAAGTAGGTACAATTTTTCCCCAAACGCCGGCTGAAAAAGGCAAACCCGGGAGGGTTACACATCCAGTCCACCGGACCGAGTCCCATCTCATCTGACCTTAGAGTCAAGCAAATCAGAGATCAGAAAGCAGAAAGCACCAACAAACTCATTTATGCCTCGCTCTTGCGCTTCTTGCTTCTGCGGCCCTTCTCAGCGGGTGTCTTGACAGCCGGTGTGGACACCGGCTCCGCAGCCTTACGGCCGCCCCGCTTGACAGGCGACTTGGCAGGAGTCTCAGCCTCCTTGGCCTTGGTATCGCTGCGGCGACGCTTGGTGGTACTGCGCGGGGGAGTCGGCTCCTTCACGGGGGAGGGGGAGTGAGATTCCTCGGATGATTCGGTGGACTCATCGGCAGACTCTTCGTGCTCGGCTTCAGCCTCAACATCGGCCACAACCTCGGGCTCAGCACCGGCAAAGTCCTGCTGCAGTTGGCTGGCGGCGGGATCGTGCTCCTCGTCAACTTTGCCGCCGGCCTTGTAGGCTGCCATGTCGCGCTTGTACTGGTCATAGTTGGCGGCATACATCTTCTTCCAGACCTATGCGAATGTGTTAAATCTGCATACTTGCAAACAATATCAAACTAGGATTGCTTTGTTCGCTGCCTATACATACCTCCTTCTGGGTATCCTCCATGCTCTGCCAGCGGCGGGTGCCCTCGTCGGCGACATCCTTGGGGCGCGCGTCACCGCCCAGATCATCGGCGATCTTGCTGCGGTTGTGCTGCATGTACAGGAAGTAGGGGGTCAAGGCACGCTTGGGGGCATTGGGGTCGACGGGTGCGCGCTTGCGCTTCTTGGGACCACCGGCCTCGGACTTGGCGCCGGGGCTGCCGGCGCGGAATGGGATGTCCGGGCCCATGAATCCAGAGGGACCGAGGGGGAGCTCAATGTTGGCATCACGTCCCTCGGTGATGTTGTTCACGTGCT